ACTGTTATGATTGAATTGAATATATGTATGTCAAAACGAAATTTTATTGTGAACATATTTATTAGAAAATAAAGCTTTCAATTTGAAAGCTAGACTTTACAGTAAAACGGAAAACTGAGAATGCCCTTTCCTGATTGAAAATAGTTTTCGAAATTGATTTCCGCAGCCGATGACCAGCGTGAAAGATGTAAACTGCGTACCTCACAAATGTACCCCATTTACAGCTGAGTTGTACCTAACGTGTACCCCATTTGGGACCTGAGCAGCTGGCAACCCTGCACTGATCCTAAAGGAGTAGCTACGAATTCATTAATTATGATTGATAAATCAAAACCAATTACGTCTAATTATTTATTAACTCGTTGTTTTAATCAAGTACCATTAATTCCGAAATCAGCTTTAACACCAACAAGTGAATTAGATAATTACATGTCATTAGAGATACAACTTCGTGAAGATGATGATGTACTATTTTTTTGGAAAGGAAATACGGAATTATTTCCAATGTTATCATCAATGGTACGCGACTTTTTTGCAATACCAACTTCAAACACAACAGTTGAAAGGTTATTCTCATCATCAAAAAAACACTGTTACAGATCGACGAACTAGTTTAAGCGGGAAAAAAGTTAATGAATTGCTGTTTCTTCAAAAAAATCTTCTTTCTTTACAACGAATAGATGAAGATGCATCAATTAAAAACAAGGAACAATTAAAAAGAAAAAAATCGACAATTAATGATGAACAAAATTTATTTATTGATGACAAAAACAATTCTTTACTATCTATAATAATTAAACGAACAAAACAAAATAGTGACAGTGATTATTCTTCGAATGAAGTGATAAATTCACTGATAGTAGTATTGAATCAGATGAACCATTATTTGAACAATAGATTTATTATGTTAGTCAGATTTTTATATTTTAATCTGGAAGATTTTTTTGTTGTTTTTGTAATATTTTTATATGGAAAAATTAAACATTACTTTTTGAATAAAATATAGATTATACTTAACGTCAAAAATATTTATCTACATATATATAATATATTCCTTTTTGAACCCGAACCCGGACCCGATCAAAGTAAATTTTTTGACTCGGAACCGGAGCCGTACCCGATGACATTCAAGTTTTTGAAACCGGAACTGAACCCGGTTGGGTCCGGTTCCGGTTCCGGGTATGTTTGCAGGGCTCTACCTACAACTTTTATATCTGTTATTGGCAAATTGTTCAAGAGGTTGCGGTGTAATTGTATTCGGACAAACAATGATTGCTCCATTGAGGTAAAGAAATATTCTTTGATAGAATATAAACAATGATTTCTATTAAATGATGAATTCAGATATTTGAACAAAGATTGCTGCGCAGCGTGATATATAGCATTGATTCAATAAATTTTCAAAAAAAGAATGTATTCAATTAAATCTAAAATATTCTCGTATAACTGATAAATACTTAGGCCTGGTCAAAAGTTCTACAATTTAAAAAAAATTAAAGAAAAAGAGAAAAAGAGTTGGAGTTTTATTTTATTAAATGTTGATGATAGTTGCCAGGATTATATATATATATATATATCAAATTGAATCCTTTCTAGCAATTTGTTAAAAGTTGTTTTGAACTCTTTTTCGAAAAAAGTTTAGGCACCTTAGATACCACATGAACTAATCATATTTCATTTATTTAATTAGTTAAACTAGGTTCAATAGAATTGGTTAGCCAAAAGTTACATAGTATCAGGCCTGGCGAATATGATGGGTATGACGTTTTATTGAATCCTTCTTCTGTCGTCTAATTAATAACATTGGATAAGTATGAAGTCAACGATGATCGTCCAGCAATTTTGTACATTTTGGCCTTGATATCTCTGTTTGTTTCCATATTCCATTAACAAAAGGCTTCGGACAATTTTCAATATAATACTTGTGACCTACAGTCTTGCCTTTACCTACACTGATGACTATTTGATTTAAAGAAAATACTAAATAAAGTTTTGGTTAAAATCTGTCTTCATGAACAAAATCTTCGATGATTCATCTTCAATAAGCCAGCTAGCATCAGTTGACTTATGACTAACCTATCGAAAATAAATCCATATTCCATCACTAGTAGTGTTAGAGTGCAACTGCCATGATCGAAAAAAATTTCACTAAATTTTAAAACAATGAATTATGATTAACCCATGTGATCTTCAAGGTGCCTAAGTTTTTTTCGAAAAAGAGTTCAAAAATGCTTTTAACAAATTGTTAGAAAGGATTCAACTTGATACAATATACAATCATGGCAACGATCATCAACATTTAATAAAATAAACCTCGAACTTTCTCTTTCTTTAGGTTTTTTTAAATTGCAGAACTTTTGGTTAGATCTAAGTACATTTTTTTTCAAATAGATTTTATATGAAATCTGCTTGTTTTCTCTAAAGAATACTAAAACTATCAAAATACAATCATTAGTATTATTATGGTCGGTAAAACATGAAATGGTCTAACTACCTATGTATCGTATTTTGTTTTTGAATAATGGCCAATCGCAAAGTTACTTCTTTTGCCTATCGACTGTTTCACTATATCGTTATCGTTAGGCTAGACGATAAGATGAAAGAGAGTTTGATTGATTTTTCTTTAGGTATTCACTCTTAGTGAAAATAGGCTACAATTCATTTCAAGATTGATTATGTTTTCGGGATACGGTAAAACAAAACCTTTAAGTGACTCGAAAAATATAAATTCAATTATAGGGTCTACTATTCTTTCACATGCATATAGATTTTGGCATTAGAATCGTACGAATTCGACTTCGAAATATAGAAGCTTCTATTATTGAGTGTGTGTCTTTCGTATACAATTAAGTCATTGGTACTTTTTAAACACATCTTCAAGAAAATAATATAAATGCATTTTGGAGAAAAGGTTTTTTTTTGCAAATAATGAGAAAAATCGGTCGGAGTACAATGCATCCTTCTACATTCAAGTAGTAAATTAGTTTTATTTTAGCATCACTTCGTGATGTGATGAATAAGAAAAAATTCATGGAAAATAATTTATATATATATGAGACGTTAGCAGTTTTTTTCTTCTCGTTTTCATTCTTCGTTAAAAATATTCTAGCTAGCAGACAAGAAAAAGCTCTGAACCCAGTCCTGAATGAATCAATATAGATGATTAGATGTAAAATGTATGTGCAGTTGTAAGAGCTCAATTAGTCGGAGATAGAAACAGTTTCGTTTCCTAGGACATATCTTCTCTTCATCTCGACATACTAAAACAAAACAAACAACAAAGTTACTGTTGCGTTGTTTTTTCTATCTCTCTCTCTCTCTCTCTCTCTTTCTCGCTCTAAATATTTGATTTTCGCTATTGTTCTTCTTGATATAAGACAGTTGAAAATTCGGTATTTTACATAACATCATGTATGTAGGATTTTTGAAAAGCAAATTAACTCATGATTGATTGTGTTATGTTAGACATGAAAAGAGCTCGTTAAGGTCAAATGAAATTGTACTTAGATACTAATCATGTTTCCGCTAGTATCTATATAAGATGTAGATTAAAGCACTCTCATTTGTGCATAGCTGCCTTTTTTTCTCTATCATATAATTTTTTTAGCGAAGTTCTCTTCTGTATATATATATATATTGTGCTACTTGACTCCGAGTAGACAAAGTTAAATACAATAATAAACGAGCGAGAACTTCATAGAAGTACGTAAGAGGATGCAATGACCAATGCTAATGGAATAAAGGGAGAGAGAGAAAGAGAAAGAGAAAGAGAAAGAGAAAACGACTAGTAAGAGATGGTAGTAAATCAAATGAAATCAATCCGTAAGTATTGACTACTGATCTTCTTTTTCTCATCGATCAATATTTGTCATCCAAATAAACATTCGATGACTTCTTGTATTTGATTTCATTTTGTTGGTCATCTTCCTACCTAAATATATACAAAATGTCCAAATAGATGATTAGACGGTGCGGACTGTGATTGATTTCCAAAAAGCTCTTCTGAATATGTTTCTTTACTTTTTCTTTTCAATTTTTAGATAGTGTTTAAAAATATGAATCTTTCATCAAATCCTTTGATAATTGTCAGTGTTCTGTTGGTGCTTGTATTGAACCTTGCATTTACAGGCGAGTATTTCTTTTTGTCTGGAATATATTCTTATTGGACATAATTGTTTAGATGCTGCTGGATTAATCAATGATGACTCCATGACTAAAAGTACAGAAAGCGACGAAATATTACTAAACAAACAGGATGTAGAAAAAGCAGCGGCACATAAATTCATCTCACGACCATCTCGTCGTCAACATCTTAGATTCGGCGTACTCGGTAAACGTTATTCTTATGGCTATTTGGGCAGACGATCGGACGGTATGTTTCAATTTTTTATGTTTTTTTAAATTTTTATTATATCAATTTCAATTTTAGAGGCACAAACTGATAGTAATCTTGCAGATTGGTTATATGAAGTACGAGAGAGACGTGCTGGCCGCCCACAATATGGAATATTGGGCTGAACTGTCTGTACATTATCAACAGCACACAAAAGTATTAAGTGAACAATGCCCTTTTCATTATTATTGTCTTTTGTCATCATTGAACCATAATAATACTAATACTAACAACATCATTTTGTTTGTGCTCTATCTATTTGATAAAAGAGGCAGCCTAGGAAAAAAACGACATCCACATATTCTTCTATTTTATTTTTGTTTCAATTGAACACTAAGTATTACCACTATAACCGAGTTCAAGTTGCTTTAGAATATTTTATATTGCATGAAGTATAGATTTCAAGAAACACAAACTCTAGAGGAAATTTGAATGCATTTAACATCGGAAAATAGTAACTCAAAATATTCTTCCGATTATGAACAATTGCTCGTGCATAATAGTTAGGTTGTTTTATTGTTATAATTTTTCATTTTATTTCCTTTTCTATCCACGGAGAATCTTCACATACACTTCTTATACTTAATGTGTATTAAAAAGAAATGATTTTTCTCTTGTAAGAGAATATTGATTGAATTATATATAATGGCAACTAGCTATTCGTATTTTGAAAACAACAACAACAACAACAACAATAATAACACTTCATTAGTTCTTATATTTAAAAAGCAAAACAATACTCGATATGAAATGATGAAAAGAAAAGATTTTTTCTCTTGAGAACATTATATATCGAAAAATTTTGAATTCAATTATTGCCGTAATTAATTTATTAAAGCAAAGAAAAAGGAAACAAATCATGTTCATAGTTATTATATTTATATAGAAAATCATAATAAATGTTATTCAGAAAATTTTGTAAAATATGCAATATTATCTGATGACGGAAGTACTATTCTGTTTATCTTACATATGCATCCTATTATTGTAGTTGACAGTAGTTTTCAACTCTATAGTAATCTGATTAGCATGATTAAGAAAAACATGTAATTCGATCAAAGGTTTCTATTTAAATATTTGTCTGTAAATTGTTCTCCATGATGCTATTCCTCCCAAAAATAGAATTAATCATACGTGACAATTGCATGAAAAATATTGTACAAAATCGCAAAACTTCAAGACAAGTCTGTTTGCATTACACACATATATATATCGCATATGATTGATGGATTGGTTTGTGTTAAAAGAATCTAACCCGTATAATTTCTAGATACCTTGTAATCATTATTAATTTTTATTCAAAACTAATATCAGTAACTCGTAATTGTGCCATGTCAGTAAATAGAATAATATAAAATATTCAGTTAAAATGTGAACCGGATGGTTTTACAGATGTTGCGTAAGCATACTTGTTGCAATTAATCTCAAACGTTTTTTTTTAAAGTACTGGCTAATAAATAGATATTCATTATGTGATATTTTATTGAGCAATGATTTTCATCGGAGTTCTATCTTACAGTGTATTAGGCACAACAGATTGCTGTTTATTTTCTAATATGTTTATTTCTTTTCCAAAACAATTAATAGAAAATTAGAATTTTGAAATTCTTTTGAAACAATTGTACATTAAACATAAAAATCAGTATAAAGTGCAAACTAGTTCAGTGGATTATATTATCAAACGTAAAGTATCAAAAGACTCGAATAAATCATTTGAATTAATAATTTGCCTTTTAATACTGATAAACCGGTCTTTGTCCATTACTCATCTGACCCAGATTCCCATATTGTTGTTGTGGAGGCCATGGCTGCTGTTGTGCGTAGTAGCCATGATTTATCTGTTGACCATAAGGATTCGGTTGATTTTGGTACAAAGGATTCGGTTGAGCTTGGTATGAAGGATTCGGTTGAGCTTGGTATGAAAGATTCGGTTGATTTCGGTATGAAGGATTCGGTTGATTTCGGTATGAAGGATTCGGCTGGACTTTTGATTGACTTTTATTATTACAGCATAAACTATAACATGTCACAATAATTCCAATGATAGAAACTACTGCTAGTACGCCACCCACAGAAATACCAATAATATCACCTGTGCCTAAACTTCCCGAAGACGACATTGACAAAGTTTAAAGAATATGTTTAGTTTTAACCGATGAAAAAAAGAAAGTTTTTATATTTTTTTAACGAACTATGCTTGGAGAGAATGAGAAGAAATGAAAAGTAAAACAGGCAATGACGAAAACATCTCTCCCTTTTATGTATTTAACTAAATAAACAATGCATTAAATGTAAAGCTAGAAAGAAAGTAGAATTTCGATGAATACCGTCAAGCTTTTAGTATATTTATTCAACAGAAGCCACTATTTTCAGTTGAAACTGGCAACAATTTTTTCTTATTGACCGTATTTTAAAGTTTGATAGAAATTTGTAAATCGTGCTATTGTTTTGTCTATGTAGACGGAACGTGATACGTAGCAACACATGTTACAGAAAAAAACATGAGTTTATGAGAAAGTGAAAGAAAGCGAATATTTAGTAAATGACAACATAACTTTCATTTTCAAGTTTTGAAAGTTCTCTATGTTAACGATGCTTCACTCTCCAGTGAGTTTTAAGATTTAGATGTTATTGATGTTTGATTTGTCTTTGAATAGCGTTGATATTGATCAGAACTTTAACGTTCTAGGGATTCTTTTGGTCGATACAGAAATTATATCTGGATATGCATAGCTGCGCGCAATGCCATGGAATCAGAATCAAAATAACCGTAAATAGAATGCTCAGTAATGGAATATTATGTAGCTATGCAGTTAATTCTTGCGTGATGATTTTTGTTGTTCGTTGATATTGATCATAATTGACTTGACTTGTTTAGATTACTGTTTTCAGTGATTTTGAATTCAAACTATCTGGCATTCATATTTTATTCTTTTGAATTTGTGATTTTATCATTTTCAATAGTTTATATTGTAGTAGCTATGTTTACCTTCAATACTAGAATGATTTTCATCAACACATAATTAAAATTGATTATCAGTTCTCGTACAAAGTGTTCGAAAAAATGCAAGCAACAGTCTATCATTAGTTTTTCCTATAATGTTTGTCTTATGATGATGACGCTTCTAAAAAAACGCCAACTTGATGCAGTAGCTTTCGGCGAACTTCATCGAAGCTGCTTCACAAAAGTTAACTTTAAAGTGTACGAAATTTTGAAAAAAATGTCGTTTTACTGCATCGCCTACGAGCTTTTCTTGAGAAATTAAAAGTATGACAAAAAATGAAAAAATGAATTTTTACTTGACTTTTGCAACACTTTTAATATTTTAAGAGATAACTGCACGATATAAAATGACACAGTAGTTTCTTCAGACTCATTTATCCCTAACACCGGCATTACCCAGAAATATTTCTAACAGAGTCTTTCAGCCTCTAGAAGCAGTGATGTTCCGTTTTTTTTAAATGTTCTCACCATAATTAACCTACAAAATCTTGATATAGAAAATATTATAAAGAAGAAGATAGTTGCTTCTATAATTATTATTTGTGCCTAACCCAAATGCTGTATATTATAGAAGAAGGAAAAGATGTGTTGGCGTTATTGAAGCTCTTCTCTACTTCTTGACTCGAACCGTTCGCATACAATTGTTCTTATATCAAATGTCATGATTGTGTATAATTGACGAAACTCTCGTTGTCCGAAATAATTATGTTCATTTCAGTCACAGCACCGTCATCCTTCGCAGTTCTTTGTGTGTAAATTTCATCAAACAACATGATAGTCTGATGAAATGAAAGATGCACAAATAAATTGTACCACTAATTGATTGAATTAGACTTTTATCATGTTCTACTTAAATGAAGAAAAAACGAGATATTTTATTGATGATTGGATTGGAATTTTTTCATTGTTTTAAATAAGTCGGAATCATAACTAATGAATATTCTCCAAACAGAAGAATTTAATATTTTGTCAATTGAATTAATCGAAAAATAATCATATTGAAAAAATTTTTACGAAAAACAAAATTATCAGTTGCGACTAATCGAATCCATGCTTGTGCTTGATTAGATTTCCTTTACTTAACAATTAATCATTTGATTTAACAGAGGATTTCACAGAGTATGACATGCTAAGCGTATGATTACCTCGAAATGTCATATCAAACAAAGACAAGTGACACGAAATCATTCATAATATTTAGTGGAGAAACAATCGAACAAAGTTCTATAATGATTATGAAGGAAGAAATTTATCTGTTTTGTTTTATAAGACCACATTACAGAGATACTGCAAACAAACAAAAATACGTGCTTTTCTGTCATGCTATTTCTACTCAATCAAATCTACAATTTTCCATTTCTATGGACATACTTTACCAATAATTCTATTGAAAAACATATCATGTATAGATTGACGATGAATAATTATGTGAAACAATTATCATTTTTCATTGACATTGAATTTTTTCATCGATTACAGACACAACATTGTAAATATCATGTTTATTTTTAGACTTCTAATTTTTTGCTAAAAGCTATAAAGATGTTTTCCGGTTGATAAACAAGAAATAGAACATTCAATTGAGGGAATTGGCCATATGCCACGTCATAACTCATGTCGTTCGATTGATTGCAGTCAGCAGCTGTGGAATAAGCTGTATGTTGAATCCATACGAGTGCTTGTTTTTCTACATTATGCAGATAATTACGATAGCAATGGTGATAATAACCAACATTGTTAAAGATCCAGTCACAATCCTCATAATTGCTCCAAAAGATATGAAATAGCTAGTGTTAAAAATGTTAACCGCTTGCATAGTTTGTGATTCTATTGATTTCAAGATTATTTGGAGTAAAAAATAAAACTACGGCTAACTCTTTGAAAATTTGTTCTATTTGAGATTTGAATAATGAGAATTTTAAAAGAATTGGGATACAGGAAAATGACTATTTATAGTCAATTAATATCGATAACTTGTTGAGATAAAATATTGATGAAATCACTCAGAATGTACTCAACATTTATCACCCTTCTTTCCGACTAGATTTTAATACTTCACAGAGTGACCTACACGCTTATTATCTTTCCAAAGCAAGAAGAACAAAGAAACGTCTACTTCTTTTTTTGCCAAAATCAAGATCTATGCAGATATTTTCTTTCTGCAAGGCACTCTTTAGAGGCATTAGATAAATTTGATTTCATCTAAATCGAATTGTTTTGTTTTCATGAAGCTTCAAGTGCGTACATTCACCATATGATGTTATCTTTAAAATAATTTGACGTAAATATTCAAGTATATGTCAATAAGTCAATTATTTAATAAATGTTTGTATATGAATAAAAACTACTTTACAATATTTTGTTTATAAGATCATGTTTATATAGTTAGTCAAAAAAAAAACAGATACAAACAACAACAGTACCAGCAGCAGCAATGAGAAGAAGAACACCGTTGGGCATTAGCAATTAAGTGAAAAAAGACACTGTGTTACAGTTACAAGACGCTCAAGAATAAACGACGAGTAAAGAAAAAAAAAGTCAATTCACACAAGCACACAGATGAGCCTAACTATGCTAAAACATTTCGATCAAATAAAAGAAAAACTACAAAGCAAGAAAAAAATGTGTTTTTTTTATAATAGATTTTGAAATTGAAGAAAAAGAGAACGATGTTTTTACGAAAATAGATAATGTCAATGAGAATAAAATGTTGTTCATTATGTTGACTAGTGTGTATTGATGTTTCACACAAGTTTATTTATCTTTTTTGCTGTCTACGAACGTCTCTTCTTTTTCTTCTTGATTAATTCATCATTACCACGAATTGTAACTGGTGCATAGGCAAGAATTGGCTGTTGTTGACCAGGTACCTGTACTGAACATTGTAAATACATTTGTTCAGGTGGTGAATCATTAGTTGGAGCTAATAAAATGCTATTTCCTTGTTGCTATTCAAATAGAAAAAGACCCTTTCTTATTAATATATATATATATATATATTTGTTAATACATACACGAGCATAATTTGGTAAACCTGTATCATGTGCATATTTAGTCCATGTTACAGTATATTGTTGAGCACCTTTAACACGACATGTTAAATTAACTTTTTCACCAAGGCCAAGAGTTGCTTCGGCTGGTTCAATGGTTGCTTCAATATATTCAGCTGGTGTTTGGTATGCAGTACCATATTGATATCCTTGATCATGACTTTCAGCTGAACCCTGACCACCTTAAATAAAAATTGAAATAATAATAATAGAATAGAAATGAAATGAATCAAAATTCTTTACCTTCAACTCGAAGATCATAACTACTTTCTTGTACGCCAGCTTGTGGTGCACGTGGGAAGTTAACTTCACATCTATTAAAATGAATATATACATAATATAATAAATTTCTTACGAAAGAATTATTTTCTTTACCGATAACGTCCAGAATCACCAGCTTGAGCATTACGAATAATTAATAAACCATTAGGATGTACTTCAACATCTATTCAAGAAAAGCAATGTTTTTTTTTTGTCTTTTATCAGATTTAATAAATTTTCTTTTACTATTTTCCAATGGACGACCATCTTTTGTGAATGTAAATTCATATGGACGTTCAATACTTCCTTGAACTGCACATTGTAGATTGATATCACGTCCAACTTGATGGTTACGTTCATCACTTGATGCAAAATGAACACCAATATAACTGCGACCACCATCTTGAACATTACCTAAAAATAATCGACATGGAAATTAATATCGAAAAAAAAGAGCATGCTTTCGCAGAGAAAACAACAACAAGATAAACTAGAAAGCAGATGCAAAAAAAAGATCAGCAGAATAAGCAAAGCGTACTCGATGGGCGAACATGAAGTGTTAAGATATCAGAAGTATTTCCCGATGTACAAGTAAATTCAAGTCCATCGTCTTGATTTGTAACAGCACCCAATGATAGATAACCATTCGAAAATGTTAAACCAAGTGGTACTACTTCACGTTGTCGACCATTATGACGTGTAACATCTAGACTAAGCGTCGATGGATCAGCATAACTTCGGCAAACAGCTTCAAGACGACGACCTTCATTCAAATCTAGTTTTTGAACATTCCATTGAACTCTTCGATTTTGCCTGACTGCTAATGCAATGATTGATAAGCAAAAGGAAAAGCAGTTCGGTTTTGAAAGCAAAGCAACAACAAAACTAAAACTAATATTACTTACCATAGCCACCATATTGGCCAGCTAAATAACATATGAAATGATGTTAAGAACTATTAAACATTATTCAATAATATACTTACAAGCTTCTTTCCATACAACAGTGACTGGTGACGATACAGTGCCATAAGCGTTTGTAGCTTCAAGTAAATATCGTCCACCAACATCACCTGATCGACCTTCAATAGATAATGCTCCATCACTTCGTGCCGTAACACCATCAGGTAAATAAGCTGAACCATCTTTTGACCAAGTTACTGTTGTTCCACTTGCTCCCTAAATGTAGTTTACAAAATGTTAGAGTAAACAAAATCAGAGTTTCTTTCTAAGTTTTATTTTTACCGAAATTGTTGGTGTAACATCGACTTTGCCACCAGCACTGATTTCATATTGATCTTGAGCAAAACGAATTCGTGGTGCACCAGATTGTGGATCACGTCCTCGACCACGACGTGGCTCAACATTAATACGTAATTCTTGACGATCTTCACCATGTGTATTACGAACAACAACTTGATAGACACCAGCTGCATCTGTTGTTGCACGATTCAATACGAGACGATTTGGTTCAACAGCGAACAATGATGGAATTGGTTGATAGCCTTGATCTGTTCGTTTGTTCCAGAAAACTTCAATAGGATCATGTGACTAAATGAATAAGAAAAATAAATCATAAGTTTCTAATTTTATTACATTAAAACTTACGCTAACTGTATATTGAACAATCATACGTTGACCTTCTTTCAAATTAATTGTTTTAGGTTCAATAGTTATTTTTGGTGCGCCTCCTTAGAAAGAAAAATTAGAATATACTTTTAGATTAATCATAACTCTTTTCAATTCAGTTACCAGAAGGTCCATATGGTCGATCAGCAGCTCGAACACGAACTTCATATGGAATAGACATTAATGAACCGTCACTTCCATATAAATCACAGTAGTAGGTTCCAGAGTGATCTGGTCGTGCACTGTTTATTTGTAAGGCATTTCCGCTTTGATAAACACCGGCTGGAAATGATTGACCAGCATCACGACGCCAGTAGACTCGTTGATAGAAACCTTGTGGTTGTATTAATTGACTGGCACCTTCTGCAATTGTCAATGGACTAGCAGGTGTGAATAATGGATAAGCAGCACCAGGGCCAGGTTGACGTTGACCTAAAAGAAAAAAAGGAAAAGAAAAAGAAAAACCTCATTTGAATACTAATTCTTTATATCAAGATAAACTAACCTGGACGATATTCTAAGTAAACAGCAATACGTTCAATGAAACCATCAGGATGAGTTATACTGGCAATATAATTTCCAGCTTGTTCAGCGGATGGATTACGGAAAACAAGATCATTGCCTTCTTGAACAACATTGGCAGGTAATGAACTACCATCGGTACGGCCCCATACAATAGATTGTGGTTGAGTATTCTAATGTAATAGAAAGAAAATGCCTGCGTACAGCAACAACGAACGAAAAATCTACTATTGATCACATACAAGAACTTGAAGTGGAAGACGCTGTTCTGGTAGATTACCATCCAAAATAATAGTTACTGGACTTGTGCCACGTACATCATATGGTCGTTGGTCGAGATAATAGGCACCTCGTGAACCAGGTCCAGATGGTTGCACTGGATCTAGCAATGAATAAAAAAAAAGGTATATTGCGAGAAGAAAAATTTTATTTTTATATTCTTACAAGATGCAGATTGCTCATCTCGTACACATTGATTCAATCGTGGATCAAGGATAAAACCAGCACGGCATCGTTCACATCGATCACCTTCGCTGTTAGCTTGGCAATCCTATTTATTATAATTAAAGAAAAAAAGACGTCATATAGTTTAAACGAAAAACATTAAAATAATTAAGTATTAATATACATACAATACATCTGCCACTATCTGGATCGCATCGATCTGATCGATCATTACATAATGAACGGCAAGACCAACATTGTCCCAAATAGATACCAACTAATGGATGTGGACGACCATAACCTTCAGCGCATTTTTCGCATGATGTACCAGTATAATTAGCTGGGCAACGACACGATTCAACTGTTGGTGCTGCATCACTATAGCCATCACGAGCAGCAGCATTCAAATTAATACCATGAAGACTTTAAAAAAATAAATAGATTTAAATTTAAAGCGAACATAAAACCAATTATCTTACACAGCTTTACGTCGGCCACCAATTGGATTTACTTTAACGAGTAATGTATCCAAATCAGATAGAGCCATAAGAATATTCTCACGGTCAATGTGTGTACCATCTTTACGTGTGAATGTTCGCTAGAAAAGAAAAAGATTCAATTAAATTAATGTTACTAGTTCTATTTCTTTTCTTTTTCATATTCCTACTTCATTAACTGCTACTGAATAAGTCGAGTTTGTGTTAGCTTTGAATCGTTGAGTTTGTGGAATTTTGTGAACAATATCAATATTATTACCACGTAACCATAAAAATTCATCACTGCTTGGTGCTTCATTATCGTTACCATCATTAGTGAAATGAACATCAATGTTACCATCATATAAAGTAACAACATCTCCAAGTGCTTCTTTCGGTGCCTTCCAGTAAAGAACTTCAGTAGCTGGACGACCTAATGAACTTTGATCAAGAGATATTTCACGTCCACCATTACGTTGTTGAATTTGATCACGTGCTTCGTACAAGTCATTAGCAAAGTTCTTTGGTACTGCATTCCAGTTGCTCATTGCAAGTGGCGCCTAATGGGAATTTTTTTAGAAGTTGTGAACAGTAACACACAAATAACTTACAGATTGTCGTCGCCAATCAGATGATGTACAATCAGTTGATACACCCGAACAGAAGCAGGGTAAACAACCATTTGGTGTTGTTGGATTCAAATAGAAGTGAGCACGCTTACATTGATCACATCGGTCACCTTCAACATTGTATTTGCAAATACAACGGCCACCACGTTCCATATGTGTGCCGGATGGATTACAACCTATTGAAAAGCAAAATAAAAAAAATAGTTAATTCAATTTTAGATCGAATGAATATTTACGTGAAGTCGGTGGTGGGGCTTGAATTGGTTGACAATCATATGGTGTACCTCGACGAGCATCACCTTCATAGCCTGTAGCACAGAATTCACAATTGTAACCAACAGTATTGTGTTGACAATTCTAATAAATAATAAACGAAACGAAACAATATAATAATAATCTAAGTACTTAATTTCTAATACATACAATACATTGTCCATCAGGTGAACAAGTGGATGAATGACCATTACAATTACATTGTTGTGCTCGGGGTGGTTCACGACGGTCTTCTAGAAAACCAAGAGAAAAAAAAGAAGAAAACTTTCAATTGTCAATTTATTCTATTCTCAAAACAAAATACTAACCAATAATAACTTCAACAATGGCATCTGGAATAGCAAAAATAAAGCCTTGATTGTTAAGTGCTTCACATGAATAAGCACCACCATCGGCAGTATTAACATTGCGAACAGTGAGTGTGCCAGTAACAACACTTGGATCATTGGCATCTAAAACTTGTGCCATTGAGCATCGTCCATTATCGGAACCATCACCGCATACATGACCCCAATTGAGACGCCAATTAATGTATGGTGCAGGTGAACCACGAGCTGTACATTGAATCGTTAACGTTTGACCGACATTAATTTGGATTTGACGTTGTGGTGCAACAACAACAACCGGTTTAGCTTTAAAGATACGATAGATAAAATCAACAGATGATAATAATTATGAATATTTATTTGTCTTACCACAGCCGACTTCGTCCGAACGATCAGGACAATCATTATAACCATCGCATTGAAATGATCGTGGAATGCAAACTGGATTTGGTGTTGTAGCATTTGAACCACCGCAATGAAATTCACTTGGTTTACAATAATGTTGTCGAGGAAGTAATTCTTTTATAGAAAGAAACAATATAACTATTATTTAGAAGAGAATTTTGGCTTTTTTTTACATACCACAATAACGTTGGTCTTCATCACTTCCATCATCACAATCACTACAAAAAAAAGAACGAAAAGGATACATGAGTTTCATGACAAAGCCACATTTATTTAGATTACCGATCACCATCACACATCCAAAATTTCTGTACACATTTTCGTCCACGATCACCATTCGTACAACGAATTTCGTTTGGTTGACATCCGTCACCTAAATTTATCATAAGAATTATTTCTTACCTTTAAAATTCCTATTTTTTTATTACCTCCAGTTCCTGCTAAAAAAAGTAGAAATAGATGACAATAGTAAAAGTCGAATCAAAAAAATAAGCAAACTTACGCGCAGCTTCATCACTATTATCACCACAATCATTTTTACCATCATAAAGATATGCACGTGGAATACAACGACCATTACGGCAAGTAGCTTCATCAATACTGCATCGGCCAGTAATTGGTGGTACAGGAGGAGCAGCAGCTATATTTGGAAGAACAAAACGCACAGTATATAAGAAATCAAAACCTTTCCTATTCTAATTGAACATACAAGTGACATAAAGATTGGCTGAACCACGTCCTGTTTGACCATGAGCATTGGTTGCTTCACAGATGTACTGGCCTGAATCTTGAGCACTAGCTCTATCAATAACTAATTGACCAGTGGTACCACGGTTGACTACTCCTTGGTTCTAGATAGAAACATCATAAACATTTGAAGATTTGAAAAATGAATTTGATTTTACTGATGTGAATGTCCAACTGTAACTAGTAGCTTGTCCACTTGGTTGACATTGAAAAATGACTTGTGAATTTTCTTGTGCTTGTCCTGGAGCTGTTTGACCTTGAACGATTTGAACTGCTACAGCAAATCCAGGAGCTAAATTATTTTAAAATTTAGTATGTCAAAAGAACATAAATAATGATATTTACGATAGACTGCGCCACCTGGTAGTGAACCTGTGCCATTAAAACAAAATAAAAATCGCATTAAACCTTTTAGAATTTTGTTTTTTCAAAAAATTATTACTTCCGAAAGTAAGAACACTGTTGCCATCAGCATAACTGCTGCCTGGGATTGAACAACGATAATTTCCCAAATAAGGTCTTGAGATAGGACGAATATGAAGAGTTTTACCACGTGGATAAAGTGGTTGTTCATCATTAAGAAGCTAAGAAAAAAAAGAGAGAATAAATATTTAAATGAATGTTAATCCTAATTATGATTCGTTTTATCTGTGGTCAAACAAAGAAAACATTTATTTCAGGTAGTAGTAATTTTTCTTACTCTATTGTTAAAGAACCATTGAATGCGTCCTTCGTCTTCTGGTGTAGCACCTTCACATTGAATTTCTATATAATCACCTTCAACCATATCAGGTGCAACAATACGTAAATATCCTTGACCACCACCACTTTCTAGAAAACATAAAGAATTTTAATAATTTTCTTTTTTCTTTCATTTTTTTGATACATACGATCAGGTGCCACTGGTGGATATACTGGTATTGGATAAGTATAACGACTTTCTTCCATAGTAAGAATGGCTGCACCACTATTGCCATATGTATCTTGTGCCATACATGTATATTTACCAATTTTACTTGGATCATCAAGTGTAATACGTGCTTTTAATGAAACTTGTGACATTGTTACTTGTTTATCACTTTCTTCAGCTCCATCGATGAGAGCATAACGCTAAAAATTATTCTTTAGTTTATCTTAGACATTCAATGAACTATCCTTACTCGTTCTGGTTCTTCTTGAATCCAATAAATGGTTGTTGTTGCATCAGCACCATAAACAGTACAAGTCATTTCATAGGTTTGACCACGTTGTACTTGAAGAAGTTCTGGACTAACAACAACACGAAGTTCAACTCGAGGGCCTGGTTGTGGTTCTTCAGGAGCGACTGTTGTTGCTTCTTTGAAATAGGAATAAAACAAAGTTGTTTGAAATATTTATATTATATTAAAACGATTATAACTCATAGAAAAATTTTGTCAATTAGTTTGGATATTTCTTTAGTATGAATAATTCTACTGTGTTATTTTATGTTATTAAAAGTGAAAAATGAAAAAACTCAACTTATAAAAGAATACAAAAACAATTTCATATTACTTACCCTCGCCACCAGTGACGTGAGTGCCATTATCTAAATTAGATTTGAAAGAAAATAATATTATTTTATCGTTACGTAATATCAAAGTAGCACAATAAGCAAAACCATAATAATCATTAGCATGCACTAATGCTTTTTTTATTTTCCCCTACGATGATGATGATGATGATGATGATGATGATGATGATTATTAATAGAAATCGAGAATGTTATAAGATACGATATCTGGCATGATGTGCCATTTAAAAGAAGAAGCTAGTTAATTAGTGAGCATGAGTACCATTATGAAATAATACATGACATTTGAATATTGATCTCACTCGTTACATCTGGATATGATGATTCTATAGGAATTCGATTTTCTTTCACCATCTCATCCTCTTCAATATCATAATATTCTACATCATCACTGTTTGTTGTGGCTGCAATTGTTACTCGACGACTGGTGGTTGTTGTTTTTCTAGTAGTCGTAGTACTAGCTGCAATTACATTATGTTCTTCTGAAATGTCATAATATTCAACATCATCATCTAATGTTGCTGTCGTTGTTGTTGCTGTTCGACTCGCAACTTGTTGAGCTACGATTGTGGTCACTATTACATAATTGCTGTTAGTTGCATTTTCTTTTTCTATATCATTATTATTCTTTGGATTTATCAGTGGAGCTGCTGTTTGAACATGATCATTCTCGTAAGATTCATCGTCATAGTCTATTATTCATGCATATGCAGACATTTACCAAACCATGCAAAAAAAAGAACAATTCGAAATTACACATTCCGATGAACTTACCATCTGCAGCGCCTGCATCTGAAATAATCACAAAAGAAAATGAAGTACTTATTCTTTTAATTGAGCTCGAAAGCTTCGAAATATTCAATAAGCAAACAGGCAAACAAGCAAATTAGCTAAATAAACAGAAAACGTAGTTTCATTCAAGTGACAGTTTCGTGCACAAACCATTTCATTCCAAATTCAGATTTTATAATATTGGTACCTATTACTGTTGTTAATGATGCGTCACTTCCAGTTGATGCATCAGAGCCAGCATGTGCTGTCGTTTCATCAGCAACATTTGTTGTTCCATCTTGATCTACGGTGACAGCTTCAACAGTTGATGCATCATGGGTTGCACCATCAGCACTTGTGGTATCTCCGCTAACACTGGCTGTACTACTTTCATCTTCACTTCCATGGCCATTTCCTGGTTTAGCTGATGTTAAATCATCTCCACCAGTTGATGCATCAGTATTACCGGCATTCGTTGTTTCGGATCCTTCTACAGCTTCAGTATTTCCAGTAGCGGATTCTACTGTAGCAGCAGTAGCACCACCTTCAGCTGCTTCAGTTGTAGCTGATTCAGCGGCATCAGTAGCAGCTGTACCATCTGTAGCAGCATCTGCAGCAGCTGTTGTAGCATCGGCATCAACAGCTCCTGTGGTAGCGTCTGCAGCAGCAGCTCCTGTAGTAGCATCGGCATCAGCAGCTCCTGTAGTAGCATCGGCATCAGCAGCTCCTGTGGTAGCATCAGCAGCAACAGCTCCTGTAGTAGCATCGGCCTCAGTAGCAGCAGCAGCAGCAGCAGCACCTGTGGTAGCATTGGCATCAGTAGCAGCAGCAGCTCCTGTGGTAGCATCGGCATCAGTAGCAGCAGCAGCAGCAGCTCCTGTGGTAGCATCAGCATCAGCGCCTGTGGTCGCATCAGCTACAACAGCGGCGCCCGTGGTGGCACCGGCAGCTTCAGCAGTAGTTCCTTGTGGCAAGGCTGCGGTAGTACCATCAGCAGCAGCTTCTGTTGATTGTGCGTCTTTGGCATTTGATCCTTGAGTAGTGCCTGCGCTTACACCGTCTATGTATGCAGAGGATAAGTAGCAAAGATGTTATAGTGAGAAAAAGCAAGAATTTTTATAGCGATATAAAAAGTGCTTCTGTTTATATGGTTAGAAAAGAAAGTATTTGAAGAAATCATATATAAAACTTACCGTTAACAGTTGTTTCTGCAGTAGCTAAAACAAAGAAAGAATAAGAAAACTCAGTTGATTATCTAATAATATTCGTAAATAATTAAGAAAAAACAGGCATTAAAATGAACTTCAAAACATGATAACATGCAATTCAATATTTATGTTCTCGATCGAAATCACACCTGCTGCCACAGTTTCTCGATCGAGAATAGTTATGTGTGGAAGAGTAGCTTCAGTTATATCAGTTGTTCCTTCAGGAACATTGGCACGTTCGATTTCATTGCCACTTGACTGTGTAGTTTGAGCAAAAGCATTAGTGTCAGCAGATGTAGCAGAAGCAGCTGTAGCTGTTGGTAAAGGATTTAGTGAAGTAAATAACTGGTTCCTTGATGAGGATTATTCATAAAATACTTACTGCAATCGAGCTCATCAGAGCCATCTGCACAATCAGGATTACCATCGCAATAGGTAACACACATATTGTTATCATCTTTACAAGGTTTAGTTCCTTGTGGACAAGCAATACCTAATAGCAGGAGAAAGCAGGTAGCGAAGCGAATGGAATAGTTAATAGTTCAGCAAGGACAAAATAGTGATTCTTTTTTTTACTACCAATAACTTACTTTCATCATTTTGTCGTCTAAACCTGTGCCTTGAATCTAGTCTGGCAGAATCAATCTAGTGTAACACGTATTATAATATGTATAAAATATCAACGAAAAATTTTAAAAGCGCTCTTACTTGAGATATCGATAAGCTTGCAACTACACAAAACCACAGGACTAAACCTGTGATAATCTTTGGGTCCATCCCCGGAATAATAGGATCGACAAGTGGAAAAAGAGTTTAAGAGAATGATATCTAAAAATAAAACTGAATATATATATATATATATATATGTATATACAAGAAAAGTGTTGTCATTTAACAAACGTATATAAATATATATTTACTTCTTATCTTTGGCATCTCATAGAATACGTAGGAAAAAAGAAGAAGGCGAAGATGATATAATTTTGATACTCTATCATAATGCCAGTCTAGTAATCTAACACATTCATCAAGAAAAAAACCGCCTATCATAAGATTCATTACAAATTCATGTCAATTGTAAATAATGATACTCAAATGATATATCCTTCGCTCGATAAAATCACAAAATTTACAATAAGCACGTAAAACGTTGTATATACTATTCAGTAACAATCATAAGAAGCAAAGTATACAAAAAATTAAATAACTATCAATCTAAATATCCTTTTTTTGTTATTGAAAAAAAACTTTCTTTCATCTCTATTAACTCGCATCGCTTACTTTACCTTTTTTCTGCTCTCGGAAACGAAAGGGACATAAATGCATAAGATATACGACTGTCTTTCTCGGAGATAAACGCAACAAGTAGCATATCCGCTATGAGCCATGTCTATCGTTCGTCGAGCTTAGATAAATAATTTTTTCTTGCCTGGTAATACTAGAAACAAACTCGACGACCACACATAGGAACAGTTAGTGCGCTATAACTTGGAAAAAAAGAGCCGAATAACCGTCCGACAACGTTGTTATTCTTTCTCTCTACAGCGATATATTGAGTAATGATTGGTATAACCACCAATGCCACCATCGCAGACCGCAATAATAGCATCTTTTTCTTTATCTCTCTCTCTCTCTCTCTTCCTCTCTCTCTCCCTCTTTTCCTTTTTCCTTACCAGTAATAAGTTAGCCAAAAAAGTGATATGCTACTATAAGCTGCGACCAGTGCATTTTACACAGTATAGTAGCTCGATTGCTATTAAGAGAATATGTTTATAGAGATGTCCGTACCTAGACATACATATTTATATATGCATATTAACATAGTACTAACATGAAGGTATTTTGTTAATTAAGAATTCCTTTTATGAATGTTATCATTTATATATATATATATGTAGAGAAAAATTCAGTAGCTTTTTTTTTGTTTCTAAAAGTACAAATCGATCATCACCTTTGTCTCTCATCATTATGTCAGAAGAAGAAGAAAAAAGATAAGGATAGTCTCTTGGTCCAATCAACGCGAAGAAAAGCTATTGCATAAGTACCCGTTAAGGATACATAATATCAACACTAACATTCATCTTCTTCTTCAATCGTTCTCCTTCGAGATTTTTCTTTTTTGAAGACGACACAAATTATATATTAGCATCAACACTTGATAAGTCGAAGAGCATCAAGTTTAGCTAATAAACAGAAAAAAACACAGAAATGTATAAAAACCTACATATGTTACACAATTGTACTTTAGTCTTGATCCAACGGGAGCAAAAGAAAAGGATATACAATGTATGCACTTACTGAAAATATGCAATATTCGGTTCTGCATATATTGATTATTGATTACGATGAAGTTAATGAAATAATTGCGTTTTTTCAGATGGCATTGATTGTTTGAATTATCAATATTTTTACAAATAGAAAAGTTTTAAAATGAAGATAAATCATCGATAGAGAAAAATTTAGAATGCAAATTTTAAACGTTTACTATAGAAAGAAATAAGGAGGAGTAGTAGAAGGCCATTTTTCTTTTTATATTTTATTACGTCTCCATCCGTATGCTCTTTCAGGCAAACATCAATTTTCGTTGATGATCGATACATATATTAGAATCTAAGAAAACAAGCTTGTCGTTAGGCCACTATGAGAAACCTTTTTTTCTTCATTTCTCCCATCGTTTTTAAGCGAGCAACGAAAACATCTACTACATGCTGCTCATATTTAGTATATTAATATATATATATATATATATATATATACATGTACATTATGATCGAGTGAGAGTAAAAGGACTGATGCATTCGCTTGAAAATATAATACATTCAGTGCTGCTGTTGATTAGCTCAAATTTATATGCATTTTGATCATATAGACATATATGTACGTATGTGTATACTCACCTAAGCAATATTTTATCTACGAAAGACATAACGAATGTCACTAATGAAAAGAAAATACAAAGTCCATTAATAACCTTCTTCTTTCACCTCTCATCAATCAAATAGCATAACTGTGGTATTTCCGAATTATTCTGTCTCATAAGATATTAAAATTGTCCTTGTTTCCATCATGATAAATTATTTACGTGGACAATTGCTGATGTCCTTAGACATAGAGTGGGAAAGAAAATAACGCATTTGTTTAGTACTACTCAAATAGCTAATTATTACCATTTGCTCTTGACCTCCATAAACAAAATGAGCAGCAAATATCCATAGTAATCTATTCAGCACATACTTATTTGCAAGCTTAAGTTTACAGCCGGTTTATGCTGAAATACACGATTAATATTTGGGTAACATATTTTCAATATGCGGACATATACGTAGTGGTCCATATAGAGCTTTTCATTTAAAGATTATTGTGTCTTTCTAGTGTCTCATCAATCAACGTCATAGAGACAAGCCTAGTAGGCAATAGATAACAGAAAAGCGTGCTGATGATGCACATCAACAACCTATGTGTACAATAGCTAATATCAATGACACTACTATCACGTTTTGCATATATAAGAAAAAGCTATTGTCTAATATTACTCAACATATAAACTCTTATACAACAAACAAGAATATTATCCTGAGGTCGTATTTTTTGAAGAAACATATGTGTTTTCTATATGTAATCAGTAAAATCTATGAACTATTGCTGACATCAAAATCGATGTATCATAGTTATTCAAAATAAGGAAAAAGAAAAATAAGATAAACGTATAGCATAAATCACCAATTATGACCACAAAACCACTAATGTCTCTGATGTTGACATAAACACATTCGTTTTATTTATGTATGCCAGTATAATTACTAAAGTTGTTATTGACTCCATTTATTTCTTTTTTGTTTTGTTTTACGGCTATCTATCTATTTGCAAATGTTAAGATTGGCCTTTTTTTCTCTTTTACATCGAATTAGCTTTATCTAAGATATTTTGTCAAAATGTCAACAAAATAGACTGGGAAGAATCTAGTCAATGTCTACTTGTATCTTCCTTCGTGGGCAAGTTTAGTTTCTCTTTTTTTTTTCTCACTAATGGATAATTAAGAGCAATTTTCTAATATTTAAATAGCTTTATCGTCTGATAGAAGTAAGAAATACTGAGATTTTTATTGTTAATATAATCTTTTTTCTATTTGAAAATAATATCCTATACGAAATAAGCGAATAAGAACTCATATTATTTATGTTATGAAAGCAGAAACGTATAGGCTGACTATAAATATGAAAATACAGTGAGCTATTTCATCGTTCTTAAAAATACGAATTATTTGAACAAATAATCGTATGCGAAATTTTATAAAAATTTCCGTATTTTATATCGGCTATGTATTTTTCTTTTATTTGCTATAATTTATGAAAAATTTGTTCCGAATGATCGTTTAAATGAAGGACACATTTGAAAAAGGTTTTTCATTAAACAATTCAATATATTTTGAGCGGTTGTCGAATCTCCATCGAGAATTATGCAACGATAATAGTTAATATTATTAATCGAAGCCATTTGTTCGAAATGTGTTTCTTTTTGCCAAGCAGCGGTAGCAAGTTCAATCAAAGTTCGATTAGATTTCATAAAAAGTACATGTGTTAAACCAGCACCATGCATACCAAGAAAAAGATCTGTTTGTGTAATAATTGATAATTGTCGTTTCATAGGTAATCTTTCAAAAAAATTAAAAGTAAAATGAATTGATGAAATATTTTCAAGTTTCATTTTTAATTGATGAAGAATTTCATTTTCATTTGTTAATTTTCGTTGTATGTCTCCTGTTGGATTTCTTGGATGTGCAATATAATTATGGCGAAGAAGAAAAAATATATTTACATTTTGACAATTTAAAAATCTATTTTTTTCTGAATCAATATTAAATTTTTCAAGAACATGCTGATGAAAATCTGAAAAATAGCTTGGTGCTATTTTTCGAGATTGTTTTATATCTAGTTCAGATTTTGCTTGTGGTGGCGACCAAATTAATTCTTTATAGAATATCGATGAAGGATGTAAATATCCCAAACGATTGTATGAATGAAATAATTGTGACCATAATAAATCTAGGTTACCCTTTGGATGACTATCGAGAAAAAGTATACGAACAGATGCTGGATTATGACGAAAAAATCGACATAACAGATAAACTGTATAAAGATCAGTTATTGTATGATAAAAATTAACATAATCATAGCGATTGACGGCTATGGTTGTTTCATTGATTACAACCAAATTTTCTAATGTATGATACGATGTAACGAAAGAAAATATATTAGATAAATGGCTGTTTGGAAATATATCGTTTGGTAATGAAATATTACATGAAAGCTAAATATATAAAAATAGGATAGTTTTGCTTTTACAATTTGAAAAAAAAAGAAATCAAACAGTAAACTACTTGAATAAATTCTTTTTCAAATTGAAAATATTCGTCATTTTCATTTTGATTTAAAACTTGATTGAGATTTTCGCCACCTTTTCTTTTTCCTTTAGTGAATTTTGTTTGTAAAATAATCGAATGCGTTTTTGCAAATAATCTATTGAAAATAGTTAACGACGAATTACATAAATGAATTTGATTTTGACACCATGCCATTAATGGTTCACCCAAACAATCAAAACCAGTTTCATTAGCCGCTGCTACATCGTTACATAATGAATCATTATTGAATAAATAAATATTAGGTATTGCCTTTGGAAAGTCATTTTTTATTAAGAACAATATACACAGACAGAAAGATGTAAGTATCACGAAATATTGACGATAATAACGACTATCAATAAATAACATCAACCAATTTAAATATAAATACAAAGAATTATCATGAAACTTATTTCGATAATAAATAAACGTTATTTATGATTGCTGTTTAATTTACTCGTTCGAATTTTTAGAATTTTAATGTATAACAGGCAAAAGAACTGAGAAGATGATCTGGAAGTTATTTAAACAAAAAAAAAATAGTATTACCCACTACAACGAACTAAAGATAAGGTCAAATTTCTAGAAGATCGTTCCTTCCATTTCATAGGGAAAAAAAGAAATTACATTCGTGGCTTCGATCAGTATCTATCTATTCAAAGAAACAGCATGGCTCCTACATTAGATCACTATTAATGCTTCATGTCATGCATTCTAAAAATAGAACGACTGATTCAATAACTCATTGATTACGATCATTCATTTTTATATCGTCTTCACTTAGGGACTTATTATTGAATTACTTGTCTTCTCTATCGTGTATTTTCTTTGCATTATTTTTAATGCATTTTGTTTGGTTAGTTCAAAGTTGAGATAAATAAAATAATTATTCAAAAATTTGCCAATCGCATTTATGTACATGCTGTGCTTTGATTAATAAATAGATCAGCCAAAATCCATTTAACTAATGAATTTTGTTTTTTTCCTAATCAATAATTATCATTTTCAGTATGTATCTCTAACTACACTTTCAGCATTCGAATAAGAAGACATAAAATCTGCATAGCGTACAAAATATTTCACTTTTGTTATTTTAGATATTAACTGTTATATTTTATATCCTGCATAGTTATTTGAAATACTTTGTATGCTTGTTATAATCTTGCAATTTTCCCCTAATTACGCAGTGGCCTCTTTCATGTGTTTATACATTATTCCGTCGTCTTGAATTAATGTGTTTTTTCTAATAATGATTTCTTTTCTTTTGATTAGCTTCTCGTTTGTATACGCCAGGAGGAAAGGATTTGTTCACTTCATATAACTTCTTTATATATTATGTGGTTTGTTTTGTTCTTGTTGTTTCTATTTAATGGACGCCCATGTGCATACATTCTTCTTAGCTTGTCATGACAAATTCATTAATGAGCATCTTCAGAAAGACAAACTACGATTCGTTATTTAGTCTGCATTTGTATGTAGATATGAGATTGATTATACTATAAATATAGTAATAAAACAAAAGTCGACAGCAGATTTCATCTTTTATTAGTCGTTTTTCTAACAGACTAAAAAACGAATAGTAAAATATCGCGAAGATAACAATAGAAAAAGACGATATAGTATATTCCTGCGCAGAATAAGTTATTATTTTATTTGTATCTATTTTTGGACGCATTACTTCTGTTTAATTCTCCAGAAACGTAATAAAGTACGAGTTCACATTATTATAGAGATAAATTATTGATTTATTGCCTCTAATTTTTGTATCAACAATGTCTGTAATGAGTTCCCAGGGTCTTTCGTTACTACAGTTTGTGGTAGAGAAAAGAATGAGATTTCTTCATTAATAGAATTCATTGATAGATGAACTTCTTTTTTTTTTTTATTATAAATGAGACTATTCTCAACAATAATAATAATAAAAAAAACTTTTTCATGAATTTCATAAAATAAAGTCAAGTTAATTGTTATAAAATCACTGCTTCATACTTAGATATATAATACTAATAAATGTATCGCTAATATTAACAAATAGAATTGATAATTTTAAGAAAAAACTAGAAGCAATATAGCAGAATATACAACAACCCCATAATAATATTGTCAGAGACTTGGTGGATGACATTTTTGTCTAGCCATTGATTGATAAATAATCTAATTTTTGCCGATAAAAACAATCCGTTTATGACAAGAATTTTCCATGAATAGCAACAATTCAACACTGAATGTGAAAAAAGCCTGGGTCAATTATTTGAAGTGAACTATTAGTACTAAGTTTTTCTTCATCTTTGTTTACTTGCAATTTTGAGAATAATAGTGACAACCGAAATTGATAAATTTCTATCAAACGAACATTTATCATTTGTCATCTGTGAAAACATGAAAGATAAAAAATGTCGAACATCTTGACAATAAAAGAATAATTAGAACCAAAGCGAATAAATTGATGTTCCAAGGGTATTGCACCTGGCCAATGTCATCCAATGGATTAACATAAAGTTAATTTTTAAAGACGTTTTTAATAATTTTCACCCGAAGACATTTGCATTAAGTTCGATATTTGATCAAGTGAATAGCACACTCTATTTTTATATTTTTCTCTTGATATCATTTTTAAAGTCGTTTAATTATAAGTTATTACCATGATTAAAATCCTCGTATGATGCCAGTTACAATTAACTATGTATTCAAGATATTCGAAGAAACTGTGCTTATTACATACTGAATGAACTTTAATGTTCATACTATCATCCAACTAATAGGTTTTCATTTCCTAATCATCACCGGTCATGACAACTCCGTATTGATGATTATGATAGATTATTGAATGATAAATAATAGAAGGTATGAGCTATTCAGATGAATTTAAATAAATCTAAACAATGATAGATATAATTACATTTTTAATTTATTGATATTCTCACGGTTGATATTATTTTCGAAATATTGAAGTTTATTTTACTCAATGAAAGATGTAAGAAGAAAAGTTATATTTTCTTTTCCTGTTCTTGTTTTTTGTTCATGTTGATTTAATTGACCAAAATAAGTCACTCAGAATCATAGAATAGAAAAGAAAAAAAAAGAATGTATTAAAAGAACATCATATCGGTGAACATGAGCTATAAATAGATATTTCAAAAAATTAGTTTTCTATTTGATAAATATCGAAAAAATCAACTTTCAAAAAAAATAATATTGAGAAGACGAATTTCAAAGTAAATAAATTGTACTGAAAAATGATTCAGATTCTAAAATTTATACATTTCTTTATTTGAAGAGTTCTGACAAATACTGTTTTCACATCTGGGTAAAAACTGATCTTATTTATTATGCTTGTATTGAATAATATTTCAGTTAAAAGTATTATTATTCAGATTTTGTTAATTGCTGATCGATGATTTTCATTTAGGCTTAAGTATCAAGAGAAATGCTTTTCCTCTTTTAGTTGCTAAAATTAATCCATATATTTATTTTGTATAGCTTTTTCAAAAAAAAAAGTAAATTCTTATAAATATTTTGTTTCGAACATTACATTAGCTTAATGAAAAGTATGTTTGACTTCAAGAGCAACAAAACAAGAATGTGATAAAATACTTTTATTGTAAAACATCGCTACATGTTTTTTCTTTTCAATATGATTATATAAAAATGTTGTTAAAACATAGCCGCCAAACAGAAAAGAATAACTAATTCGATGACAAAAAAAAGACGGTAGAACATACACCATCGAGATGCTTCCATCAATTTTTTTCACGTTGGCGTTCATTTTTTTTACATCAGGTGTTCCACATAGAGAGTAAAATTATTTATATTTCGACTGATTGGAGGTTCTATTGCTAAATGATTTATGCTTGAATGCATATAGTAAATTGAATTGAAGTAAAATAATGGATCAATCTGCGTTTGTCCCAGCAAATAATATTTCCAAGTAAGCTAACTTTGTGGTTTTTGTTTCTTCATAATTACGAGTACTTCTACAGACTAAATGAGGGTCCTCTTAAACACGATTGCAATACAGAACAGCAACTCTCCACGAAAGGTCGCTATGTTGAGCCAAAAATATATTCTGGGTAAAATAATTCAAAAAATAGACATATCATTGACATAATGAAAATATCTGGAAAAATAGATTTCAATCTCCTAGACTAAAATTAATATCAACGAAACGACAATTGTATACTCCGAGATTGTCATCTCCTCGACGTATTCAACATGATGAAAGTTCATGTCGTTTATCAGATGAACCTTCTCGTCAGACAACGTCATTTGGTAAAGATCAGTCTATTCAAAGACTAGTCAAAATTTTCAATATTTTCTAGGACAATTTCAGTGTTTTGAGCCTAGAAAGGAAGATTCATTTATTGATTTCAATGGATTAGTAAGATTTTGTAACCGTGAACTACAATAAGTCATTATTTCTAAATATTTTAGCATAGAGGTAAAACACCTTTGGCTACTGATGATTTTTTAATATTACAACAAGATTCATCGACAGAATTCGATGCTAGGTAAGAAAGTAAAACATCATTGTCAATTTTCTCTTCGCCTAATTTAGATTACGAGTTGATCTAGCACAAAGGGATTTAACTTTATCAAACACGAAACTTTACCGAAGTCCATCATTACTTTGTAGTTCACCTTCAGCGACATTAATAAAATCGATGAAATCTAATGAATTAAATTTCTATAGTTATAACAATTTTGGTCAAAGTTCAAGACCACAAGTAAATCTTCGAATTTTATCTTATTCAAATATGTTATTATTATTTCGATATAGTATTTTTTGACTAGAAAAAGTGCGAAGAGACCAAGTCAGGTACTTTCTTTCTTTTGTGTTAATCAAGCTATCTGTAAATCTTTCCATTAATTTAGAATATTTTTCGTTCGTCAAGCATGCGTGTTGTTGAATCAGCCTTTCCGTGGTATCCAAGAAGTGGTTATTATGGTTCCAAATCAACTCGAATCTAGATAAGATATGCATGAAAATAATTTCGAAGTCTTTCAATTTATAGCGTTATTCATCGAGAAAAAAAGAATCAACGAAAAAACGAAATAATTGTTTATTTTTTATTATATACGAAAGAAACAAGTCGGTTTAAACAAAAGACTGATTGTCAAAACTTATAAACTAATTTAAAATAACAATAATAAAAACTACACAAAATATTGATATGCAAAACTGTATTGTTCACTCATCTGTCACTATTCGTTATTTAACAAGAGAATTATTTTGGGAGTCGTATGATTGTAAACTAGATTAGTGTTGATGAAACTGATAGATATGTGTCAAGTACGTAGGTTTCACATTTGGATGTTAGAAGAGCAGTTAAATGATATCATTTCCATATTGTGCTTATTAATGCTGACTTATCTTCTTCTTCTTCTCAGTAGTTCTATACTTTTTGAAATCAAAATTTAGTAAATCCTGTAATTTTTTCTACGATTTAACAATTAATTTGAGACGCACACACTACTTGATTTGATCATATTTTTCACTAGGAGTTTGATTTATCTTGAAACTTTGCTGTGAATATAACTGAGATTTGTTACGAAGTCAACTTTTGTACTTGAACTAAGATATCTATTATGAGATATAGACTTGTGATAAAATACTTCTATCTTGATAAACAACCCACAAGAGACGTTTCTTATTTAGAGTAGAAATATCGTATAAAATATGCATCTATTTTGAGACTTAAAGTTTTTTAAGTATGTCTTCTGTCTATAAGAGTTATTTGTGGAAAAATTTCAGCTCGAAACTCTACCATTTAGCTTCTAAGGAGTTTTGTGGTCACATCAATCAACAAGCAAATGTTGAAGAAAAAAAACTAAAGTTTATTTATTTTCTACTAGCCATTATCATTATAGTCAATCAAGTGAGAGAATAGCTTCTAGCAACATGTAATTGCACAGTTGGAAACATTCTCTCGTTAATCATTATGATGTTCCGGGAAAAGGATAGGAGACATTTAAAAAGACAGAGAACTGTGCTAAGTCGAGCATTTTACAACGATCTTTTAATTGAATTTTTAGACATAAATACAATGTTGTCTGTATATGGCATTCAATTTCAAATCTCATAGGCATACTATATACGTATACAAAATTCATTGTAAAAATATTTTTCCTAGAAGCTCCTGTCACATGTCTCACAGTAGGAACAGACGGAATAAATTTCTCTAGTGAACAAAACAGTTATATATTATCGATTTGATAATAAAGTCATTCATCATAGAGTAGATAATCATTTCATTGAAGTTCTTATTACGCGTATGGCATCAGATCATCTGACTATTATTGATCAATAATGAAAAATCACGATGAATTTTAGTAATACACTAAAAAAATATTACATTATAACTTTGATTTCCTTGGCACGAAAGTGTTTTAGAGCAAATTCATTTTATACGCATACACATGTAAAATGTTTTGCACAAATATGCTAATCAAGATTATCCATCTATGTCCTTTGAGATTGTTTAGTTCTAAGTAGTGTTTTTGCATGCGTAGCAAATGATGACTTCGAAATGTTTTAATATTTTAGAAATGATACTGCAACACTCATAATATATATTATGAGTTGTTGAATTGTAATAATACATATCGATAATTGATTTAGGATGGAACAGCTATCGTGATTCGTAGCTAAATCTTATTATATGCTGAAGAGCTGTATAATCTAGGCTGCTCGTGTATTCCTTCAGGCATAGCTAAACAACATTTTTCAATCAAATTATTTTCCATTTTCTTTGATATTTTCCCCTTAGCATTCTCACATAACGTGTGAGAAATGTCAACATCGTATTGAATGTTCCTCTTTATTTACACATAGGAAATTCTCCGTTCTACCTTAGAATCATTCAGCATAGAAACTAAGCAATTAAAGATTAATTTTTAATGATGTCTTATACGTTTATTTGACTTTTGAGACGAGAAAAAAAAAGAACAAGACGAAATAAACATAATAAAGGTAGAAACCCACTATCTAGGAGAACGAGGTGCTGGAAAGATGTTAATATATTATTTTGCATTCTATCGAATAGTTTGACTGTAATAGAATAAGTTGAAGTGCATAATTAGATTTGATTATAATGTTTTGTTATTGCAGGTTGGGTTTTTGTTTTCTTCATTGACTATGAAGTTTTTTTCTTGTTGTCAGTTTTATCTGGCGAATACGTAAATACACGTACATCTTGTTCAATAGCTCGTTGTTTCATAAATATTCTAAACATGCGAGCAAACGAAGCTAAAACTGATTCTTCATTGATTCGAACAAGATCAGGAAATGCTTTTCGGAAATGTTCCGTTGCTTCTTCTACAGGAGAAATTCATGAGAAGAATAAGTTAGTTTATTGAATAATTTCATACCTAAATAATAGTGCGGTACTTTTGTAAATAGATGATGGATTTGATGTGTACCAATTGAATGAATGATTGAATGAACATGACCATAATCACGATCAACAGTTGACAATTGTCCTTTAACATTATTCCATTCCGAATCGCCATACCAAGGTACATCACTATAAAATTCAAAAAAAAATATCAAGTAATCAATCGTTTATTAATTCAAATATAGTACATTTCTGTATGATGTAACATGGTTATAATAACCATATAGCATGCAAATATGAATACTGGTATAAGATGATAAGTAAGTAAATTAATGACACCAAAGGATATTGCATAGGCATACATCAAATAGCACTATAAAATGAATAATTTTTATTTAAAAAAAAATTATTTTTCGAAAATTGTATAAATATACCATTCCTATATATGAAACAAGCGATAGACACACACCAACTGAATTTTTATTATAGAATAATGCTTCAAACTGAAATAAAAAGAAAATAGTTATAGCTAACTTCGATTTGTTTCTTCGGCCTTTTAGACAAAATTGAATTCATTTACTGGATTAAAATGATTAATTGATCTTGGCGAGTATCCACATAATAAATAGTAAAACCAACCGAGACCTGGTAACCAGAATAAAAGATCATCCTTAAATGAAGGGCGATATGTTTCACCACGTTGTGGATAAAAAACTTCGTCTTTGTCTATATTATTTGTATTTTTATGATGTTTATTGTGTGTAAGCTAAAATAAAAAATATAAATAAAAAAACATTGAACTCAAATGTAGGAAAGATCAAGAATTTTGTGAGATTTTAAGCTTGTAAGCGTTAAGTACCTAACCATACTTTACATTTGTGTTTAGATTATGGACAATATCAATTCTAGTAAACACCAGGAATTATTACTCTCTATAGTCTTGACATGTTATTTATATCCATGATCTATAGGACGCATTTTTTTTTATATGAAAATCACCAAGATTACATATGATTTACCTTCCATGTATAATAAGGTGCTAAAATCCATGTGTGTAGTATGGTACCTAAATAAGAATAGAGATGTTTTCTCTAATAATTGTGTATACAGCAACTTTCTACATACCGACGATATCGTTCAGTAATGGATAAAAACTAAAACTACCATGTCCACAATCATGTCCAAGAACAAAAAGAGATGTATAAAGAGTTCCTAAGGACGAATAACAAACCATATAAATAAATATGGTTCATAAGAGACTAACAAACCTTGTATATACCAATAGATAGGGAAAAATAAAAATCCGTATTTAAATAAGTTTTCTATTTGATACATGAGTAAACCTGCTGCGACAACGAAGATAATATCTTTGATGACATAGCTCATCGACTGAACTACAGTTGGGCGAAAGCAATGAGCCGGGAGTTTAACTTTTATTTCAGATAATGTTGGCAATCGATGTTGAGTTGGTAATGGTGCTGTGTTCAAGTTTTGATTAAGATTAACACCAATGCGTGTATTATGTTCGCCTTTACCCATATTTTTTTGTCTAAAGGAACTAAATGATAAAAGATTTACATAAAGAAATCAAAGATATGATAAATGTAAAGAACGGCTAATCACAGGCTTAATTATACGTTGCACGACGAGGTTAAAGCTTATAATGTCAATATACAGAGAAGATTTGACACAAAAAAATGGCGAAAAAATTAGGTTAGATTTCTTAAAACAACATAAACAACTATATTTACAATAAAAGATGGCGGTTAACATTTTGTTCGTCATTTAAATATCATTTTTCTAGCATATATTCTTGTAGATTAATGTCAACGTAGAAATTAAATGTTCATGAGTTCTATTTTCAAATGATAAATAGATGTCGCTTAAATTCGTGGGTTATTTAATGGTTCTTATATTCCCGATAATTAGCATGCTTTCCTGAAAACGATACAATGCGTTTTGCATTTTTCCTGCATGCTATTTATTTATGTTACGATAGGTAACGAGTAACGATTATTTCTTTGTTTTTACAAACACAAACGACGAAACAATAATGACATCAAATACAAAAAGTCCGAAGCAATGTAAATAGTATATTGTAGTGGTTTTTCTAAATATCGGGAAAACTATTTTTCTAAATGTCAGGAAAACTATTTTTCACTTTTAGCACGAGTTACATCATCCGCCGATCGTGATGAATTATTAAATGTATTTAATCGTTATGCACATCATGAACATCTTGGTGAACGTTATATGACACCACATGAATTTTTGCAAGATTACTTAGGTTATTTAATAGGTGATAATATAGATCCAACAACACTTGATATACTTTCATCTTTGGTTGATTTGAATAAAGATCAAAGTTTGTTAATTATTGTTTTCGAAATTGATTTAAGGAAAATTATTTTTCGAATTAGAAATTACATTAACTAAATTTATTAATTTTGAATCATTATTGTTGGCATCAGATTCATTATATCGTTTAGCATTTCAGCTATTTGATCGTCACGGTCAAGGTTTTATTACATTCGATGACTTTCAATATATTATATCGGCGACAAAAAATTTTAAAGAGTTTCCGTTTAATTTTAATTCTGATTTTGTTACAACACATTTCGGTGCGAAACGACAACGGCAAATAACCTATAAGGAATTTACTCAAATTTTACTTGGTAAACAAAAATTCGATAAGAAATTTGTTTTGATATTTTTTTTTTCTATGTTACAGATTTTATTGACGATCAAACAATACAAGCATTTCGAAAATTTGATAAAGATAATCTTGGTTGTATATCATTTAAAAATTTTGAAATTATTCTCAATGAATTGCGACAATATCAATTAGCAGAATTTATATCAAAACATCTAAATGATGTTGTTAAATTATCATGTTCGACATCACCACCAAATCAAATTTCATATTCATATTTTACAGCATTTTTACAATTGTTATCAAATATTGAATCGATGAGAAAAATTTATCTAGCTGTAAATTACAAAAAAGCTCATACATATAAATCATCGATGATAACAAAGGAAGAATTTTTAACTGAAGCTCAACATTTTTCATATACAACACCATTACAAATTGATATTTTATTTGCTATAACACATTTATTACATAAGGACCATGCTGGACATGAAATTCATAAGGATTATATTGAATTAAGTGATTTTGATTTAATATCAGCTAATGAACATTTACTACCATATCGATTACGATCTGAAATCGTTGATGAATATTATAAAATTGAACATCAGAGTATTTTTATGAAAGTTCTTGAAAGTGGTTATCGTTTTACACTAGGTAATGATAGACAAAATGTCTTTTTTTGTGTACTCAAAAGACAAAAATGAGTACACTATAGAATCGGCCAGTGTGTCCGTCCAGCCGTTTACACGATAGCTCCTGAAAGGCTGATCCGATTGTCATGAAATTTTGTACACAAAATGATCTTATCAATATCTCAGTCGAGTTCGAAGATGAGAGGGATCCGTCAAGAAATGGCTGAGTTATCGAGAAAATTGTCACTGTTGACCAGACCATCTCTGAGGGGGGGGGGTACAGGGATTTTTTGAAAAAAAAACGTTTTTTTCTCAGCATTATTCACAACATATATAAATCGATTCGGTTTTTGCAGTACATATAACAATCGGATGTAAATCCGATGTTTCTGCATTTATTCTTTTTTTTTTGTTTTTAAATAAGAATTCATGTATTTAGGTAGTATTGCTGGTGCTATTGGTGCAACGGCTGTTTATCCGATTGATCTTGGTATAAAATATTTCCAAATAATTCTTAACATTGAGTCATTTTCTGTTTTGTTTAAGTTAAAACACGTATGCAAAATCAACGAACAACAAGTGTTGTTGGCGAACGTCTTTATCGTAATTCGATTGATTGCTTTAAAAAAGTTATTCGACATGAAGGTGTTTTTGGTTTATATCGAGGTAAAAAGAAATAGAATAGAAAAACAAAATGGATGAATTAGAAATACAAATTTAGGTTTAATTCCTCAATTGGTTGGTGTTGCACCGGAAAAGGCTATTAAATTAACAGTGAATGATTTTATTCGTGATCGTTTTACATTAGCGGATGGAACGATTCCATTTTGGTCGGAAATTCTTGCTGGTGGATGTGCTGGTGCATCTCAAGTATGTAGATATTTGTTTAGTATGAGAACAGAGAAGAGACTTTTCCGTATTTTGATAGATTCCTCATTCAATTATTAAGATTTGCATCTTCCACTTAAAAGAACAGCGTATCCTAGATCTTTAGCGTATGTTAGTGAAGCGAATAGATTGAAAATACGTCACTCCCTAAAAAAAATAGTGATTTTATCAATTTTTCTTTTAATTGATCATTAATTTGAAGTGGAATTTACATGAAGTTTTCGAAAGAATTGATTGTATAATCATGAGGAAAAATAAATATTATTGTGAAGCAATGAGAAAGAAACCACATCATATATTCCTATGTTTTCGATCTCGCTGTTTTATTGGAAAAATAAATAATCGAAAGGGAACGAATGGTGTAAATCACTCTAGACACAAAATATTAAATAGGTTATGCTAATTTCTATCTTATTTAATAGTAATTATATTCAGTTTCTCGATTATTCAAGTCTTTCATCCTTATAGAAACTGTATTACAGACTATTTAAAACTAATAAATGATCACAACAAAGATCTCCGAACGACCAAATAAAAAGAGTTCTTCAAAAAATGATATATTCTGCAATATATTTGTTCGATTGACTTTCATTGTAGTCGAATAAAATTAGAATGTTTTGAAATAAAAATGAAAAATTCTATTCAATGTATCGTTTTACTATTATTCTTTATTATTTTGTTTGGATTTTAGGTCACCTTCACTAATCCATTAGAAATCGTTAAAATTCGTTTACAAGTTGCTGGTGAAATCCAATCAGTTCGTCGACCAGCTGCAAGTGAAGTTGTACGTGAGCTTGGTCTTCGTGGTTTATACAAAGGCGCTCGTGCATGTTTTCTTCGCGATATTCCATTTTCGTCTATTTATTTTCCTGCTTATGCTCATACGAAAAGGCGTTTTGCTGATGAACATGGTTACAATGATCCAAAGAGTTTATTTTTTTCCGGTCTTCTTGCTGGTATACCTGCTGCTGGCCTTTGTACACCAGCTGATGTTGTTAAAACACGTTTACAAGTGCAAGCTAGAAAAGGACAAACGAAATATAACGGTTTAACAGATGCGTTCAAAAAAATTTATATTGAAGAAGGATGGACAGCTTTTTGGAAGGGTAATTATATATTAATAATAGTAATATGTACTTTCACTTTTGATTTAAATAAAATATAGGTGCTGGCGCACGTATGCTTCGTTCATCGCCCCAATTTGCTTTTACTTTGCTGACATATGAACTCCTTCAACGTTCATTAAATATCGACTTTCAAGGTCGAAAATTAGAAGGATCCAAACATGTTGATCAAGAACAATATTCACCAAAAATACGTTCATCGATTATATTGTCGACGAATTCTGATCATGTTGGTGGATTTCATTTAGCTCAAGCAACATTTGAAGGTAAATTAATGCTAATCGAATTATTTTATGGAAATATTTTGTGTAGGAATTGAAACTCGTTTTGGTTTGGCTTTTCCGAAATACAAATCATCAACTTCGAAAGATTCAACTTCGTTGATTCCTCCATTAACTTCATTACTTGGCGTGTCTACTCCTCAACTCATCAATCCGAAATAAAATTTCAACTATTCGTTATCTATCTGTTCTTCTAAAAAATATACATCGTTGCGTTGTTATTCTGACTTTAGATTAGTACATATTTCTGTTTTTCTTCTTCTTCTTCTTCTTCTTTTTCTTCAGCAATATAAAAGTGCAAAGTCTGTATTTAGTAAACAAACAATAACAGAAAAGTCGTCCTTATTAATTAAATTATTTTATTATAATAAGTGAACTAGATGAAATTGAACAAAATCTGTTACTATTTTATTTTAGAGTCCCTGCTTTAAGTCATTTTTACTCTGTGGTTCAATAAAGAAATTTTTTGCTTTACAAATTGTTGTGTTTTTCTTGTTGCAGTTAAAATAAAAAATGTAAAAACTAGCTGATTATTGTTCTGGATTTTCTTAAGATTTCTATTAATTTTGATAGATTTTTACTCTTGACATCTAATTTCAAAAGTAATGAAAACGGACTGTTCAAAAAGTCAAGTCGTTGTGCATATTCAGCGAAAGCAAATGTATCTCACTATGACATTGCATAGATAAAGTTCTTATATTCGTAGTTTAGGTTGCGCAATTCAATTTTGGATGAAACGATCTGTTAACTGCCTAATTCAATTATGAATAAAAAAAAATCATCTCTCATATGATTCTGGCAAGACGAGATTTCTTTGTGCTTTCAAATGGGTGACCAAAATGTTATGAAATTTCACGAGTTGATAAAAAAAAACAGAAATTTGGCGCATTTTTTCAACGTCTTGATGCAATCAATGGATAAGTGTTCGTATTGTAATATTCGGTTAAATAGTACTAAGTTCGTACTATGAACTTGAGAAATTCATGCAACAATACTTTAGAACAAATAACTTTATTAGAATTATATCCGAGAACCTCACTGAAAAAAAGAAAACAATTTTGCTCCATTTTAGTTGTGAAATCTATTATTTTCATTTTCACTATGAGCTTCACAGTTGTTGATTATAGTTACTAATTGACATGAAACAAGAACAAATGTGAAGAATACTTAGACCATAGGCAACATGCATGCGCTACAAACAGTAGTAGTTCCGTTCACTAACTGAACCTCATCGATGCAGAAAACTTTGATGTCAATACTAATATGTTTTGAATTAGCTTGAAATTTTGTTCGCTTTATACAAAAAACATTCGATCTAATTATTAATGCGATGCGAAGCAGAAGCATTTATGTAGTCCGTCGCGAGTTTTTTTATTTTTTTATTATTTTTAATGCGATGCGAAGCAGAAGCATTTATGTAGTTCGTCGCGAGTTTTTTTTATTATTTTTAATGCGATCCGAAGCAGAAGCATTTATGTAGTCCGTCGCGAGTTTTTTTTATTTTTTTTATTTTTTTAATGCGATGCGAAGCAGAAGCATTTATGTTTTACGTCGCGAATTTTTTTTATTAAAAAGATGCGAAGCATCAGCATTTATGTAGNATAGTCTATTCATTTCCAGCTGATCTATGATAATGAATCATGGAGATAATTAATCGATCAATCGAAATCGATCCTTAAGAATGTATCGCTAAGTAAGAATGGAGTTTTCTCAGTGATGAATTTGATCATGTCGACAAAAAAAGTATTCAAGATTTCTCTGAATTGAAGATTTTTCGTGAATATCCGACTCGAGCTTCGCATCGCATTTCGTATTCGAGTGAAACTTGAATACCATCTAGTTTAAAACTCTAAACAAAAATAAAGGCGCTTGTCTCTATTCATTACTATATTTATTTTCATTGGCAATGCTAATAGATTTTTTTCTTCATACACATGAATGGAATAAGATATAGAATGTTCGAAAAATTATCTATAAAAGAGCATTTTATGAAAGTAATCGAATAGTATGTTGCCTTGATTGAATTGAGAATCGACATTTTTGTTGTACTTCTCAAAGAATTCATATCTTCCAATCAAAGAATGGCAATACATGTACTCATTCGTACTGGATAGACTGATTATTATTTCGTAGGATAACATTTTTTTATTAATTTTAGCTAGAACGCAAGTATAGTTAACATGAATAAGGTCATGCTGTTTTCATTTTGTTCACTCGTCTCTTGGACTCATTCTGTCCTGAGTTTAGGTCATGCATTGTATCAATTAGTTATCTCGTAATGGGATTTCTAAAAGATAAAAATTTCTCATTGATATAAATAACTTCTCTGCAAATATTTCCATCAATAGAGGTGTCACTTAGGCTAGCAATTAATGAGTATTTTTCATAAGTTCTGCAAGATACGAATTATCTGGAGAGTTAGAAATTTATCAGCATATATTAAATAAAATCTCTCCATGACTGCATACTCAATTCTTAATTGCATTGTATTCATGATAAAAATATGGCATGCAAAATACTACAAAATGCATAAGCTTCACATACACGACAGTACGTGCCAACAAATGAACACTTCATTCGTGCGATCTCATTTTATTGCGAGAGGTACTCGAGTATTACTTATATTAACAATAAAAAGCCCTTGTGAAACGCATCTATCTTTGATGAAACACAGTCAGGAGAAAATTGATGAGAAGAAAATTTGACATAGCTTGTGACAGAAACAATATTTTTTTTTCCAGTCATGTCGTGTCTGGAAAATCATTAGACGTTGTCTCTATGGCATGTCAACTCTGTTCAAATTAGAAAACATCGATTGAATATGGTTAAATGCCGTTGTTCATACGATACGACATCGCTTCTATTATTTCTTCTGTCCTCTCTTATTTTTGCTTAATTCAAACGATTTTCTTATTCTTTGATTCGTGATCACACTCTTGTTTGCTGTCTATACGAAGATTAAGACTACCGTAAACTGACGAACACGATACCAACAGATTGTGTGACATTGTATACCTTTGAGAATGCAAATCCATACGATCGTATTTGGTCGTTTTCTTTATTAGTTCTAGAATTACAATCGTGTCTTTTCATATCGTACATAACATAACATAATAAAAAATGTAGATTTTTTTTCTTTTGAAATCAATACTTAAAATCTGATCTATATTCTTCAAGTATTATAAATAGAAATTGTTCATTAAAATGAACACTGATAAACATCAATTTTTCCAAAGCACTCCTTCATCTCAGAGTTTCTCTTCTGGCTCATTTCCGACGTAGCCAAAAAAAGATAGATAGAATTTCTCGAGTTCTATCTACTTGATATCTCATTTGTCATGAAATATATTCTATATATTTCACTTGATTGATTCGTAGTGACAGAGATCTAACGTATTCAGTTCTCTATGTTTTCAATATGTTTTCAGTCTCAATAATTAGACTTAGTTAGCTATGACGAGACTTAAATCAATTTCCTGCAAGCAACAAGACAGCATACGGTCTGCCTCATCATAGTCAAATGTCACAAAATAAATATTTACAGATTGCTATTGGTTCTTAATTGTCATGAAAGATTAAAGCTAAAAATATATTCAACGAATTAAATAGCAGAATAAATCTTATGTTGTGAAATTAATTGACTTCATTTTGACAAATGAAAACTACAATGATAGTCAATATTGAAGTCTAGGATTTTTTCATTTTTCACTTAACCAGAAAAATAACACTCCTACAAGAGAAATTATAATAATAGAATGCTAATTATAACACCCACAAGTATCATGAATAGGTAATTGAAGAAAATAGTAACATAAATAGCGATCTATAATTTTTCATTATTTTGATTCTTTTTGCTTCATCTATCTTATCTGTATTGCGATCGAATTCAATGATTTGAATGAATAATTCTGATCTATTGAAAAGCTAATCAGGACAGACAAGGCAATCACAGAATTTCATGCCATTTTTCACATTTATACTTCGTAATTTAAACTAGAAACCACATGCAATTTGAAGTCTTATTGTTGCTTTGTTCTCTAATCCTTTCGAAAGGATTTAGTAGAACCATATAAAATATCCTTATCAATATAAAAAGAAAGAATAGATACTACGAAATCACGGCGGTGAATAGTTACGTTACATTTTTATGTTATTAAAATTGAGAAGATAAAGACAAAAGCTTAACAAAATATAGAAGAAAAACTGGATTATCTCATTGAAAATCTATTTTAGAAAAGTAATAATCAGGATTCAACCGAGATAGATATTAATGCCATGTAATAAAGTTTATACGAGTGTATTTTTAGATGCCTGATAATTTAATCAAATTGACATTTACTCAGAAGACATTTTCCTATGACAAATTGAATAAATGATCTAAGTAAATTGATACAAGATCAAATTAAATTTTTATTCCCCATAAATGATTTCTTAAACTATGAAAATCAAGATTTCAACGACATCTGCATGTTGTTAGTTTGCAATTTTTGAAAAGTATCCGTAGCTGCTCGTGTTGCCAAGGTTGCTTTAATTTTCAAAAAGAAAATGTTCTCTTCTTTTATTTTTCTTCAATTTTTTTTAATTTTCAGCTAGAACAGACAGTCAAAATATAAATGGCAAAACCCGACAGTCCGTTTAATATTCGGTAATTATGTCAATTAGTTGTTATTTTTGACATATCTACTAATTCTTTTTCTGATAAGAGTGACTCAATATTCAGCACCGCATTCAGTTATTCCACCTCGATACATTGAATCATGGCGTCGTGACATAGTCAATCGGGAATTAATTATTAATGTATAGCTAAAAAACAATTTTTTTATTTTCTTTATCAAATAAAACTATTCATTTCGTTTCTTAGAACGCCCATCAAGGAAATATTCCACATTATGAACATGATGATGCTCTTTATTTTAATAAACGTGAGCAAATGTATTATAATGTTGAACCTCGTGATCGAGTTGATAAAAAATATACGCTTCCATCACGATCTGATCAACTTCAACCACAATTTCATGAAATATATGATCGTCATCGTTCATCATTATTAAGTCGTTATGATCCGCAAAATAATTTCAAGAAAAAATAATTTTACTATTGAATTAACTGATGAAAAAACGAATAAATACGAATTAAATCTCTTCTTTTTTGCTTTGTTTTTATTCTTCTCAAATAGAAGTCACACACACACACACGCATACACACAAAAAAAGACAGAAAGAATGGCTGGCCACACGTTGTTCTAATGTAAAAGAAAAAGAAAATGAGAGAAAAAATATTTAATTGACACATACACACTCATCTGTTGTTGCTGCTACTATTGTCTAGCCGTGAAAGCTGACATCATCAAGGATATATAACTTCATGTATATATATATATATATATAAATATATATATATGGACCAAAAGAGAAGTAAAGGTGATCGATTACTTGCCGAATGCTTGCGAACAGAGAGATTTCTCTAGTTGATAATGAAAAAAAAAGAAAAAACAACAACTGACAAAGACGACAACCAGAAAGAAAAAACGATAGAATAGATAGGTATTAAGGTATACGAATATATATGTATAGAGAGAACAAGCGCGAGAAAAACAGTTGTAGAGACAATTGTAAGTATATACACAAGATCAATGATGTTGATAGTCGAATAGAATTTTCCAAACGGTAGGGAGAAAAGCACAGACTAAGAAAAAGTAGTAGTCTTGATCCAGTGGAAGATTCAACCCATTTGTTAAATATGTTTACATTGGTTTTTTGCCATCTTTAGTTAAGGCATCCTTCATGCCAGGATTACCACCGCCTCGTGGTGGAGTTACTGGACGTGAATTATTCAACGAAGGCGTTTTTGCTTTCTTTTCCGATGGTTTTAAAATCTATACGAAAACAAATAAACAAATTATTATATTGAAAAATTCGATTAATTCTACAGAATGAATCTCGTTTATAAAAAAAAATGACCTCAAAAGAATTTTAAAATATTCTGTTATACGTAACCATGGGAACAAACATAGATGTTCCTTAAAGTTTATCTCGACGTCTAATCGTGGATATGTCATAAGGATTTTAGTAGAACTGTCTATCACTCACGTCATTGATTATTATTATCTATAATCAAAGATAATAAAAAAAATCTCATTATAATAAATGAGCTACTTTGCTTTTGCATTTCTGCACGATAAACTAAAAATGTTTCTTGAACAAAATGCAATCACAACAGAATGTTTCTATAATTAGCCAAAGCAATAATATCGTGTTTCACATTCTAACCCTAGAGGGATCGGACTAACAGTATTTTAAATAAAATTCTTTTAAATAATAATTATTTATTTCTCACTGCTTTTTTTTACCTGAAAGCTACACATTAATGTTTCATCAACCGACATCATTGCACCAGCATTATCGAATTCCCCACAATAGTTTGGCGCTGAGAATAGAGTAACTAATTGACGTTTGGCAAAAAATTCATAACCGTCTTCTACAACCTAAATGAATAATTTGCTGTCTTAGTAAAAAAAAAACGAAATACAACGAATAGAGAAATACGAACTTGATGAGCACGACAAATAAGATCAAGATCATGTTTGTGTAAAAATTTCGAAACTATTTCAGCTCCAAATGTAAATGATACACCACGATCATTTTCTCCCCAACCATTCACTTCTTTATCAGGATCAGACCATAATAAATCACATAGTAAACCTTGATCAGGTACATCAGTTGGTCTCATAATTCGTCTTATTTGTTCCATCGATTGTAAATCTGGACTTAAGCCACCATGACAACAAAAGATTTTTTCATCAATGATAGCAGCAACAGGAAGACAATTAAAACAATCAGTGAACGTTTTCCATAATTTAATATTATATCGTCGTTTACATTCGTCGTAAAATCCGTATATACGGTTAATTGATGCACATTCATGATTTCCTCGAAGAAGGAAAAAATTTTCGGGATATTTTATCTAGATAAAATGCAAAATAAAAACATCAGAAGTGAATTAATCAGGTTACAAAAAGTAAATCATACCTTATAAGCTAATAATAAGCATATGGTTTCAAGTGATTGTTTACCACGATCAACATAATCTCCAAGAAATAAATAATTAGATTCTGGTGGAAAACCTCCATATTCAAATAAACGTAGTAAATCATAATATTGACCTGAAATTTAATTTATTCTATTGTGTATATATATGTATGTTAAATTAAAATTCATTTCCTTACCATGAATATCGCCTAAACAAATAAGATGAAAAAATAAATGATAAATTTCAATTGTTATAGTTTTCTATTTGAACTTACCACAAATTTTTAATGGTGCTTCGAGTTCAAGTAAAATTGGTTGACTGAGAAATATCTCTCGTGATTTTAAACATAATCCACGCACTTCATTTTCACTTAAATGCACATTCTTATTGGGCTTGGCGCCGCGAACTAAACGTAAAATACAAATTAAATCAAGTTCAATCTAAATCGTATTCAATTACATTCGAGTAATCGTTGAATAATTCCGTCGATATTGAGTTTATCTTGATCGTTGGCCATTTAAAACAGTAATGATGTTTGAAGAATAAAAATAAGGGATGCAACAATAGACAGAGAAAAACGAAATAATAACACGTCGAGGACGTCAGGTGAAGGGTAATAATATTGAGATTAAATGAAATGTTTAATTTCCTATTAATTATTTTTCATTATCCCACATATACAACGAAATAGCGGCGCACTAGCAGCGAAAACGTTGCTATATTTATCTAAAAAAACAACAGAAAAATTGTATTCTACTCGTTACTCTATACTATTATTTATAAACGATTGTACGCAGTCGTTTTTTTTTGGAAAGTTAAACAGCATTTATTTAAACCGAATACACTGTCTCTGTGTGTAGAAGACGCTTATGAAAGGATAAAAAAGAAAATTCATTGTCTTGTTTTTTTCTTTATGAATGTTTTATTTTAAGTTATCAATGCACTTTGTAGGATTATTTTTTGTCAAACTTTTCATCGAGACAAGAGTTCTTTATTTTCACTGGTCATATAGCAATCAATCATTTTTATTCTAGCATCTAAGAGAGAGAGAGAGCGAGAAAACAAATTACTCTTAATAAAGAATTTTTGCTATTTGAAAAATAAGAATTATGAAAGAAAACGAAACGCTAAAATTTATTATTTTTGATTGACAACATATTCTGACCAACGCTTCCTATGGAAACTGAGGACAAAGTGTTTTTTTTTTGTTTGCACTCACCAAAGCGTATGTTCACTTTTTCTTTTCATCATAGTAAAGAGTATAAACTATTATGTGAAAAAGAACGTGAGACAATTAAATAATACATAAAAATAGTCTTAAGTATATCCCTCGGAGATCTGGCATCAAAATGTGCATAGTACAACTCTGTTCGTCACAAATAGCAGATGTTTCATATATTTTGCTTTTTTGTCTTACAATTCTTGTAATACACAGTGCTACGAAGAAGTGTTGACTCTAATCTAACACTTCATGGAACAGTTAAAGGGATTTTCTCTATTTATAAACCTAGAGTGAAGACACTATTTTGACAATATTTCATCGTTCAACAGTTAATATAAAAGGAAATAAATTTTAATATGAATTGTTTGTTTTGATTTATGACGGCTAATCGTTTAGCAGATGTTTTTTATCGTACGTTATGATGACATTATTGTTCATGTTTCTAATTACAGGGAAACTTGCCTTTTCTGAGGGTGTATGAAGTCAGCAGATAGAACTACCTCCAGTTATTAACGACACATTCGCAACTTCACAAAAACGAAAAAAAATGTTGAAATATTGAGATTTAATTAGACGAGAGTTAGATGTCGTATTCAAAATGTCAAAGTACTTACTCTATTAATGCTAGTTAAACAAATGACACGCTTGCTTCTTTACGCTGATAAACAAAACACTCAGAAAATATATTAAAAAAAGAAGCCCATAGCTACGATTCAATTCATCGTCATCTAATCGTTCTAATGTGGAGAATAACCGTTCTCTCTCGCTTGTTTTTTTCCTGCTGTCGTTAAAATTACCAATAGTTTTATTGTCGCATGTCCCAACAAACATATCTTATCAAAATTTGATTAGTGTGATATTGGTAAAAGTGTGACATAATATCATAGAAATGCACAGAGACAAAAATGTCTACATAACTTTGAAGTTTTTGTTGAAACACTCTATTCTAAATTATACTATCATGGGAGAGAACTAATCAATAACAACAAGTCTTTTTTATTATACGCAGATTGTTATGAAAAATATGCTTCTGTATAAAAGAGATAATAAAGAAAAATAACATATAGATAACGATAAATACGTATATACAAAACACATTTATCTTAGTAGTCTGAACAAAATACTTATCTGAAGTAATTTTTACTACTATTTGTCGATTAGAAGAATAATGTTATGACACTACCACGTTTAACATCGATACTTAAAAACTAGAATATCTTACACAATGTATTGACTTCTACCACATAGATAGAATTAAATATAGTAATTATTTTATTACCGTCTGCTATAGAGATAATTTTATATTTCTTTGATGAAATCTCGTAAGAGTCGTCTATGAGTGTTCACCTGCATCCAACATCGCCACAAACGCACAATAAGAGTAACAACTACGCTAAAACAACTCAAACTCTTTAATTTTTGAGAATATATATATAAACTTGATTCAAGAGCAACGGCGTGTTTCTGCATCAAAATGATACTTGAGATGTTGATGTAAATATACTTCGCATAACTAATATATTTAGGTTATGATGACATTTCATTCTAGATCATCTGTGAAATCTATTTCAAGATTGTTCATAGATTTGAATACTCAAGTCATTTTTCAACTCTCTCAATAGGATTTTTTCGATTAAAATTACTAATTTAGCTATATACAGTAAAACCTCTCTTGAGTGAACACCATGTGGACCGTCCAAAATGTGTTCACTAAGAGAAGTGTTCATTATAGGGAGGTTTTGTACTGACTGACCTTATATATGTAGAAAACGCATTTTTCAGATTTTTGATTTATGAATACGTATGTTATGTATAATAACTGAAGTAAGTATGCATTGGTTAATTCACTCTTTCATCTACTGTACAATTCATTTACTGTTAATTTTAAAAGTATTTCTTCTAATTTACAACTTATTTATTTCTGATTAAAAGACATTTCTATATATTCAGGCTTGCGTTTGATGATTTTTGATACATTTCATATAGAGATTTTGTATTTTTCGACAAGTGCACGATATTAAACGTTGTTTTCATTTTCACGAATTAATTATATTTTTTTAGATAAAGTCTATGTATTTCGTGCCGTCATCTCACAATAATGTATAAAAAAGCGAACAGTCCTGTCTATTGAGATAGGCAAACTCGTCATAGTCTATTCAATTTTATTTTTCTGTTCTTTTCGTGCGACACATTCATTCGTGCTGCATTGACGAGCATCCCTTTTTGTTTTTCTCTCTTTTAATTCTGGCGAACGTGCACATTTTATAGCTTATATGTTACACTATATAGAGGTGTTCACTAACAGAGGTTTTACTGTATCTCTAATATGATAAGAGAAAATCCGTCGTTTCATCATCTCAATCAGGGATCCCGCTTAGGGGGGGGGGGCGCTGTGGGGGGCCAGCCCCCCCCAAAATTTAACAAATAAAAAGTTGTTTCTGCGAAAAGTTTTGCTATATTTTGGGTGACTCGAAAAGTCTTGATTACAGTACGTTTGTGTACCGTCAATTACGATGTTTCTTTTCTAGTAAAAATGTTGATTTATGCACTGCGTTGTTAAATGAACATTTTCGTTCTGAAGTTATTCGTTTCTATTTGTGCCAGAAAATCTGTAATTTCTACCTTTTACTTTTGTCGAAAAATCTAGCCATTCTATTTATTTCTGTCAGAAAGTCCACTCACTCTATTTATTATTTTATTTCCGCGAGAAAGTCTATTCAGTCTATTTGTAATTTCTGGCAGAAAGTCTATTCAGTATAGTTTTTACTTCTGGCAGAAATTTCACCGCTGTTGGTGGGCGTTCTGAATCTGTCTATTTGATACGCAGTCCCATGTCGTTGAAGCCGTAGATATCTGATATATTCACTATAATCACTTAGTTTCCGAATGTTGAATTTTATTAAAGATGACGCCATAAAATTAGTTGTTCGCTAATAAATAACCAACAGGAACATTAATCATACTATATTAGTTAGAGAATGCACTATGGAATACTTGTTCAATTTTTTTTGAACTGCAATGACTATGTATATACTAAACAGATTGAGTTAGAAAAAAAATATGAAAAAAAATGATAAACGTAGAGAAACCGCATCGAAGTGGTGATAACCGTTCGCTTTGACGAAAACTGAGTAGCATGAGATGATATTTATATGTGACATCATCTCAGATTTTTTTAAATATGATTTCAAAAATAGTTCATACAACTAGTTGTACAGTAAAGTGTCCTATTTGTGGAAAATCAATGCTTCTAAAAAACTGGAAAGATCATTGTCGGCAATTTCATGCCATGTCACAAACAGCGATTGATTACAAATATTATGAGTTGAAAAGAAATATAGAACAGTCAAATTTACGTACAGTAACATTAGATGCAACAAAATGTAACATTATTTCTTGAATCTGATCAATTGAAACAGAAAGATGATGAGCTTTGAAAAACTTTTTTAAATATTACTTTTTATACATATGTTGTTTTTACAACTTAGATCATCTAAGTTAGATGATGATATTATAAATCAAGGATTTGCTTTTTGACGTATACTGTCTGCCAAAAAAAATAAAGTTACTGCCAAAATTTAGCCCCCTCACTTCCAAAAGTAATCGGGAACCATGATCTCAATTTATAATAAATGAACGAGAGTATCACCTTTTTACTGCCAATTCATTGAAAAGAGCGCTGTAATAATTTATAATCACGTCTTCTTTGAATAGTTTGCTTATCAGTTAGGTACTCTCGAAATGGGAAATACTGTTGAATAGATAAGATGCTTCATTGTTTTTGATGGAAAAGTAATAAATTTATGTTGCATAATATCTGTTAGAATGCTGACGTATCCCACTCATATAGAATTAAAATCAGAATAGTATAGAAATTATATAAATAACTTTAGTTAGTCTTTTATCATGTTTTTTATATTTTTTATTTATGATAAATCTCATTGAAAAAACAAAAGAGATGACTTTTTTCTATTATTAAAAATTCTTCTTCGTAACATTACATTTTATTCCTTCCTGGTGTTCATTACTTTTTGTGACGCACGGATTTTTGCAGGTGATTCTTATTCGTTAATTTGAAAAAAATTATGTACAGCTGCCGCAATACAATGATAATAATAAAAATATATAACAACATTCTATTTGTTGTCGATATTTGAGTAGAATTTCGCGTAAACTTTGCTCTTGTTTATTTCTAAATTGTGGTTTAAAGTTGAAAATAAATATTTACCTTTGCTCTTCTACAAGTCCAGTCAAATTTACCATTTTCTTTTTTGATAAAATAACCTTCTATTACTTTTAAACAGTGTACTTCTACTTACGAGTCATTACTGATAAGGCGAGCTTCGACAACCCGAGTGTATTCAAGTAAAAATGACAAAGTTTACTGCCTGATAAAATAATTAGTAGAAATATCTATTGTACTAGTCAGTATTTAATTATTTGAATAATATATTTTTATGAAATGGAAGTCAAAACAGAGAACATGTGTATTTATTTGCATGCTAAATCACAAGAATAAATAATGGGCAGCGAATCCTACTAAAATTATACTTGTACCTATGACATTTTGTACTTCGTTTAAACTAAGATAAAATTGTCTGTAATCATAAATATTTCTGACAACCCAAATGTTATGTTCCATTATCGGTGCATAATTATTTTTTTAACAGGTACAAAGATCCGTGCAAAACAATCTTTGTGGTTCTCTTTATTATCTGTATGTACCTTATAACTACTTCACAAATTCAGGACGTAGAACAATAAACAATATTTGGAGAAAAAGAAAATAACGCAGGATAGAACGTTACTGATAAAAGATAGATTCATGGTTTTTTTTTGCAGTGTATTAGTATAATGTTATGTTAGTTATCAGTCGGTAACCTTGACACCAAAGAAATATATCACACATCCAGCTTCCAAATTGTATAACAGGTGAACTACGAACTAAAGAAAAAGAAAGAAAGAAAGAAAGAATGAGAAAGGGCAAGCAAGATAGAGAATGAGATTGAGAAACAATAGAATACTAATATTATAGACTTCATTTGTCAGGTCAGATAAAGCTGAATATGAATATCTTACTGATGAAAAAACCTATAGTGCGTATTTTTTCTTCACTTATTTAATTCAATAGTTTATTTTTACGTTTAACTATTTTCTAGAATCGATTTACAGCTCGTTCGAGATTTTCGCTTTCATCCATGTCTGTAATTGGTTCTGCTGAGCCTGATGTGGTAAAAGTTAAAGTTTATGTACGTATGTTCTTATGAGATCTATTTTTCTCACACTTATTTATTATTTCAGAAACCGTGTGATAATGTGATAAATAAAGGTTACGAACCAGGTGCATCGAAAAAATTTTGTATTGACCCACGTCTTGGATTTTATCGAACGATTCAATGTTTGATTGCGCAAGCGTTTGATCTTAAAACTGACTTCACTATATATGCAGTTCGTAGGTGTTCAGCAACTGGATTAGAAAAATTAAAAGCTATTTGGTCAGATAGTGATTTTGCAGCAGCAATAACAAATCTTACATCAGACTCCTATTTACGATTAAGTTATGAATTAACACCTCGTGAAGAATGTATTGTAGAAAAATGCTATTTTTATGTATTCTAATACATATGTTGTTTTGTCTTAGGTCTTGATGATTGGGATTTTGTGGCAGTGAATGATTTTAATACAAGTATTCGTTGGTTTAATGTTGACAATCGCTCTATAATAGCAACTGTGAAACCACCCGTTGGAAAAAAAGCTTCAGCTCTAAATAAAGCTATAAGTATGTATTCAAATATTGTCTTTTTAAAAAGACATTACTACAATGCCTCGGGCACTTCTAGATTGGGTGTATGGCGGATATGAACGCCGTAGTTCAAAACCAGTTGATGAAAATGAATATAATAAATTTCTTGATTCCGAAGGACGTCTTATAAATGTAAATGAATTACGACAAGCAATTTATCAAGGCGGTATTGAGTCATCGATTCGTAAATTGATATGGGGTCATCTATTAAATATTTTCCCAATAAATATGACTAGTTTGGAACGTAATGAATATCTTAGAGATGTATCAATTGAATATGAAAAGTAAGTAAATCGTTATTATTTATTATTATTATTACTTATTATTATTATTAAAAATATGATTATTATTTAGACTCAAAGGACGATGGAAAGATATGCAACAGCATAATGAAAATATTCGAACAACAATGCGTGCTATTCATACAGATGTTATTCGTACTGATAGAACATGCAAATTTTATGCTACTTCTGATGATGCTAATGTCAATTCACAGTCCCTGTGCAATATTCTCACGACATATTGCATCAATCATTCAAATACTATATATTGTCAAGGTTTGTATAGATTTGAAGACAAATTAGTAATAGATCTGTCTCTAAGAATTTGAATTTATTTTTAATTCCTAAAATTTCGTAGATTTTTCAAATTCAAGGAATATTTGATTGCTTCGCTGATTCATTGTTTTTCTTATCAAACACGGTTCGAAAAGGTGTTGGAATAATACTTTGTATTAACAATGGGTCATATGACACATTAGTAGTCATATCTTGACGGAGCAAAGAGATTCGCAAGTCAGCGACAGTATGTGAAAATTTAACATATTGACCCATGATGAATCATAAAGTTAACTTCGTAAATATTGTTTCTATGTTTCATCTAATATTGGTGTTCTTTTTCAATGAGAACTCGTGTCATGATTCATTTTGAATAAATATTTATTTCTTGATTTCAGGAATGAATGAGTATGCTTCGGTTCTATTATATGTAATGCGTGATGAACCAGTAGCTTATCTATGTTTTTGTTCAATTATGAGACGTATCCGAGCCAATTTTGCTACCGATGGTGTAGCTATAGCAACAAAGTTTCATCATCTTAAGTTACTTTTACAAGCTATTGATCCTGTCTATTGGAATTTTTTTGAATCCTGTGATGCAGGTAAATCAATTAATTGATCCTTTATTCAAACAGAGCCTTTGTTTTGTAAAAAAGAATGATCCAAAAGAAATGTTATCGTTTTAGTCAGCCTGTTTTTTACATATCGATGGTTATTACTTGAATGTAAGCGGGAATTTCCATTTAATGAATCTTTTCGTACACTTGAAGTAATGTGGGCCACATTACCTATTGCTAGTGAACCACCACCATTGACTGATATGCCGTTATTACCTTTATTATTTGATATAACAATGCCTCATATTCAATTTCCAATAATTTGTCGACCATCACTTCAACGTCGAGCACTTAGCTGTCCACAATTGTCAATTATCGATGAATCTTTCTCACGTAAAAATAGATTTCATTCTTCTTCGTCAACTTATGATCATAATAATGATAATGAACAAATATCATCTAGTTTACAACAAGAATACTATTCTTGTATAGAAAATGATCAATATCAAGGTTATAAATCTAACAATGATACTAACAATAATGATAATAATAGGTCTAATTCAGTGTCATCAAAATCACGAGAAAAAACATTAGAAAATTCATTTTCACTTAGTGAAATATCAGAATTTAATTCCAATAATCTATCAAGCTGTTCTGATGATAGCCGAAAAGTTAATTATGTTGGTTCTCAATATTCTTCATCAATAGATTGGGTAGAACGCTTACCAATGAATTATTCAATATGGCTCGAAGAGGAAAATTTATTTTTACTTTTTCTGTGCATATCTATACTATTAACTCATCGTACTCATCTATTGAAACAAAAAGATCTCGATGAACAAGATATATCGATGCATTTCGATCGATATCGCCGTCGCCATAATGCTGAAAGATTATTAAAACATGCACGAACTCTCTATGGACAATATATACAATGGGCAAGAAAAAAACGTATGCTAGATGATCTCAATAGTTTTTCCGTTAGTTAATATTTATTGTTAATTTTAGTATTATTTTTGATTTATATTTTTTTGAAATTTTCAGCACGAATTTAATTCATTTATTGTGTTTCTTTTTGGATAGATAATTAGTAAAAATATTTAAAAAATGAAGCCGCGTGAATTTCAGTAAATTAAAATTAATAAACGGAAATAGAAAAATCATCAAACTGTTCGCATTCTCTTGAATCCACTTCAGAGACTCGAATGCATATGTTCAAAATTTTCCAGCCATCCATACATATCTGACAGGATTGCAGACCATCATTATTTCTTTCCTGAGTTTAATGAAAATAAAATATTGAATAAAGAAGCAAATTGATGGTTTGTTAGTTGGTTTAGTCAAACAATTTTATCGATGATGCGAGTTTAGAAGATAAAACCAAAGACATTCAATCTTCTACATTAGTACTTCTCTACTATCAAGTAAACGAAGTTAAAGAGTAAATGTTATACAAGGGTCATCATTTACATAAACGTACCTATACCTATAGATAGGTAACTCTGCTGAGTTCATGCCTTATCTTGCACAATTGCGCAACAATATTCATAATTTTATTCATATTATCAATATCATTTTTTTTCTGTAAACTTATCTATCAAGAAAAGATTGTTACCGATTGTAGAGGTTGTTCTCCTGTATTATAGTATAATGTCATATAATCGATGAGAAAAATCAATTCCAGCTGTCCTGTGTAAGATACATGGATTTATAATTAGAATTGCACCACACTCCTCTATCTTTCTTTTAATTCAATTATGTATTAATTGTACATATAAAAAAAAACAAAGTTTATCATAAGTCTTTTTTTTTTATGTCCACTGTATACAGAAACTATTCAGTATACGTTTAAATGAAATTTGTAGGAGTGATCCCGCACATTTCTTCGTCTGCTCCTGGTAACTGAAAACATAATGTGCGAAGATAATGATTCCGACTATCATGGATTATGTTCAAAGCAACTTTTAAATAAAATGTCATTATAATAACCAAATGTCGAATTTGATCGATTTCTTCAAGAGAAACTTTCTTTACTTTACCTTTGTCCAACAGTTGATACAAATGATGAACTTCTGTGCGAGTTAATTCTGTTTTATCATTAGGTGATAATGAAAGAAAGTTTGCCCTTAGTTAAATCAGGTAATGAGTAAAGCAATAGAATTATTACAGAAACCAATCTATGCTTTTCCAGAATGTCATTAAGTGATAAATTTGAGTGATGGCTAAAGGCATGTGTGATTTTTTCGAATATAATTTCATCATATGGAAAACTAATACAACTTGTCAATATTAAAGTAGATGTAGAGTATTTAATATTCTTCTCTTCTAAAAAAATCATTCCATTGTTTTCTATACAAAATATTCATCAATATATTGTAGGGATAAATCATATATGCGATCTCTGTATTATTAATTTCAACATCGAATATCCATCTTCGTTCAATCTAAAATGATGAAGAAAATCCATTTACTGGTCCAGAATATAGTTGATTTTGTTTAGCATTTTCCATACGATCATAATGGGTAAAAATAGAATCTTTCCAATTTACGATAATTATGTACCAGAGATGTCCACAGGACAAGGTTACCTTGCCCTGTCCTGCCCTGAGCAGGAACAGGGGGGAAAATAAAATTTGCCCTGCCCTAAATAGGGACAGGGTAGACCAGGGAAATTGCAGGACAGGACAGGGTGAGACCTTATACCCTGCAAAGTGAAAACCTAGCTGTTTGGATTTCCGTACTGAAGAAATTTTTCCTTCAGTTCGCAAGACTCAAAGATAAGAAAATAGACTCCAGAGAACGACACAAACTGATAGTCAGAAATTTCTCTATCTGATCTGGTTCATATAAGTCACGACCCATTTCCACTGAAGCTGCTCAATCAATAGTCGCCGGTTGACTCGTTTTTTACACTCGATGGAGACAAGTGTTTCATGAGTTTCCACTTCCACACAAGCCATTTCAAAATATTTTGTTCTATTCTCGAGATAATAAAATTTTTCTAAGAGCATCCGATTCAAAAATTAACAGATTCGTGATTTTTTTGAGACTTATACCTCTTCAAGAAAATGTTCATGTTGCTTGAAATTTTCAATATAGATCTATCGTTAGTTCAGATATTTTCCCTGAAAATATGAGCTCAAACTGATCGATTATTAATAAGTTGACCTCGAGCACCGGTAACATTGAAAAAATTCTGTTTTTTTTTATTTTGTGGGTGTACATTTTCATTTAGTAGACAATACTGTCGAGCTAAAATTTTAACCACAAAGATCACCTTGACTAAGTCTGATAAAAAATTTAGCTCTCCTGTTAGTCCTCATCGATCGGAAGCCGTTGTAAAAATGCGATTTNGCTATGGAGAAATCACATTTTTCATGAGGATTCCATATAAAAAAAACAGAATTTTTTCAATGTTACTGGTACTCGAGGTCAATTCATCAATAATCGATCAGTTTGAGCTCATATTTTCAGGGAAACCATCTCAACTAAATATAGATCTACATTGAAAATTTCAAGCAAAATGAATATTTTCTTTAAGAAGTATAGGTCTCAGAAAAATCTAATGTTTCAAGAATGGAACAAGATTTTTTGAAACAGTTTTCGCATGAATTCATCAAACGCTTGCATCTATCATTATAAAAGTATCGATTAAATCGACCACCGTTGATTAAGAAGGGCCCATCGTGGCTTGCCTGAGCTGGCTCTAAAACAAAATACTGTTCTATGGTACAATGAGAAACATGCCTTTTTATTTTGAAATGTATCAAAAATTACAACACAGACACTATTTCAATTCAGCAGGGTACCCTGCCCTGCCCTGCTAAAAACCGACAGGGCAGGACAGGGGCAAGACGCATCTTAAATTTATTCATTTTTTTTCAACAGGGCAGGGCAGAGCAGACAGGGTGCAAAAAGTTGCCCTGTGGACATCTCTGTTATGTACAATTCATTTTCCCCATCAATTAGCACTAAGAAATATTATATCATTTGAACAATGAATTGATAATTGAGGTTGGAAAATTCTTCAACTTGTTCATGACCGTTGAAATAATTTAAGACTTCATAAAGTATTTCGTATGGTAAATCTTCGATACCAGTTATTAATCGATCTGTTAGAAGAAGAAAAAAAATATTATTAGCTTTATTTCCACTAGGTAAAAATTTACTTCATAATCTCTAACTTGGGTTTTCATTATCTTCGACAAATACACGCTTTAGATAATGTCAACATTTGAAATAAAATGTGCAACCGGACGACAATGGGCTGAATATTATCACATAAACGTTGAATTCTAGACGTGGGTCTAAATAGACGATTCACACCGTCCCGAGTTTTTTATCTTTTGTTATTTTCCAAAAGAGCAATTGATACATTATTAAAATAAAGTCGCAAGAAAAACAAACTGTACAAAATATCAAAATATCTCTCCAACATACCGACTTGATGAAGAACTCTCTCTCTCTCTTATATTGAATTGAGTAAATATAACGAGTTTGAGTGTTAAACATATGCGTTATTATATTAGCTGCAATATAGCTGAAAACCTTTTATATATTTCGAACACATTTTAGATACATTCTTAATTTACCCTATTTAAAAGTTCCTTAGTGATATTTATTTAATTCTCATTAAACTCGTTTGCTAACTCATATAACTCTTGTTTTTCATGTAGTTCAAGATTCTAACAATATCTCTGATGATGGATGCCTACTAAGCAAAATCGAATAAACATGTTAGTTCCTCTAATGGCTTTTGAAAACACATTTTGTGATGCGTTCCTGTTCCTTGAGAACGGAACGCTTGGAAATGGGGCACATAACGCGTTCATTAACAACAGTAACGACAAGACCATTACTACAGTGAATCATGAATGCTGAAGTAACGTTGAAGAACAAAAATGTAATTGCACAAGTCTTGAAAAATAGAATCGGCAATATAAAAGAAAATGCTGCAATCATTGGAAAGGACACATTGATTATTTCGTTACTCATATGGCAACTAATTTTTACTCCCAATCAAAGCAAATATCACACCAGTCCAATCGGTCGCGAGATTCAACTTGGTCGGTCTTTGCCAGAAATATTTCTTACGGGACCAATGAACAGGAGCTTCGTTCATTCTTTGACAAAACATGCGGTCATGTCACCACAGTTCGTATTATTTGTAATAATCAAACGGGTCAAAGTCGCGGTTTCGGTTTTGTACAATTCAATACTTTGGTAGCGTACGAGATTGCGTTGACACTCAGTGGAAGTTCATTGAATGGACGAAAATTGAAAATTTCACCAAATGAATCCAAAACTACATTTCCCTCAACTACAATTTCTACTGCTACTACTACTGCTACAGTGGAATCAGTTGATTCTACTTTGAAAAGTGAACAAAAAACGTGTGTCGTACATTGTAAAAAGTCGAACTACGACGCGTATATTGGCCGACCATCAATTTGGGGTAATCCTTTTGTTATCGGTAGAGATGGAGATAAAGCAGATCGCATTCGAAAATATCGTGCTTGGATCATGAGTCAGCCTGAACTATTGGCTCGTGCAAAAATCGAACTTCGAGGTCGTACCATTGCCTGCTGGTGTAAACCGGAAGCATGTCATGGTGATATTTTGGCCGAAATAGCCGATGCCGATTAATAGCATTTTCTCGATCTTCATTTCAGGCAATCATCAGTCGTATAACTTAACTGATAATATGAGCTATGAAATATTTCCAGAGGCTTTTCTCTGAATATTAAAAAAATCTCATTTGATAACTGCTCGAAGAAAATCATGATCAATTAGGGTGTGGATAAGATTCTATAGTTCAACGACATCCGTCTCTATTCACAGGTACCCGCACCCACACCATAGCATTAATTAAACTGTATTCTATACATAGAGCTAACATTTAGAAAATTGTTGTTATTTTATAGACAGAGCAACTCGAAGAAATTTTTTTAACATCTTTCAAAGTTTCAAGAATAGAACCATTCTCCTAAGTGTTTGCCACAATCTGTTAGATAGGTTGAAGTACTTTAAATAGTTGTCTCTTTTAATTCTTTTTTTCTATGTGTGCCGATATTGATATCATTGCCTACTGTGACCTATCTCTCTGTTCTCTCGCATCTGGAAGCATGTATTCTATGTAAAGTAGTCACATTCTAGAGATATGAGTAGCTGAATAAATATCATTCCAGAAACTGTAGTAAGCTATTCCATCCAATTTGTCGTTATACAATATATTGATGAATTAGAATTAGTGTCATCGTTTGATCAGAAAATCCATTGTGCTCAACAAATAAGAACTAATCAATTTAAAACAAAAGCACACTGATAATCCTCTTCTCTTATTCTTGATGACAAAATCAATCCTATCGTACTTTATAGTTCAATCACGCATGATTAATACTGACAACTCTGTGATATTGAAAGAACAATATTTAAAGATTCATAATACAAAGAACATCATTGCCAATTTGCTTCTAATATTCATATTTCTATACGATGTCTTTAATAGAGAGTTTTATCTTAAGAGGAAACTTTGTTAAATAACCAATCACTTTTGAATTGGGGTGTGGGTGTGTGGGTACGGGATACGACTCCGATTGAAGTTAATGCGCACAAGCGCACCCACCCTCATCCATACCTGAAGGTTTTACGAAACTGATTTAAATTAGCCAGATGTGCATACATGACGATTGTTGTCGTATGGATGATGCCATGTGACATTTATTTGTCACTTTATTATTCTTTTCAACCCTTTTCTTAGGTGAAATATTATAAGTTGTAATGTTGGATGTGGGTGTTGGTGTGGGTCTGGGTCTGGGTCTGGTTGGTGCATGTCTGTGGCTGTGCTTCTGCGGACGTGTGTACTTGGGCAGAATAATCACACTCACACCTAGACCCAGACCCACACCCACACCCTTTTAATACGGGTAATGTACTCATTGATAATATAGTACAGAGTGGTAGTATATGATCAATGATTAAGAGACAATTCGTGACGGCACCGCGTATCTCGTATAGTGGAATGGTACTCGATCTATTTATCTGTGCTAAGTTATCAATGGAATTGAGAGGATTATCACAAATTCCGAACGATGCCTGATGGTCCGATCCTATGGTGGTCTTCAATATTTACGGGTAACGGTAGAACGATCGCATATGAACCGTATCTTATCATTTCGAAAAAAAGATCGGAATGTATGGGAAACGGCAACCGTATCCAAAGATTCATTATGGACACCGGAATCAACTGGAGCTAAGTCAAAATCTGCCGTCGGATCTGGTTTCTGAATTCTGCTCCCGAAATTCATTGGGAAATCATGGAATCCTGCTGCTTCCAGGCGTACATATTCGATATGGCTCGTTCAGCGCTGCCTATACATTAGAGTTTACTAAAAGAACAAAGTTCCACAAAACTTTAGCGTACTCTATAAATTGCATATTATTGAACCCAAGACCAGATCTTCAATATTTTAAAAACAAACGAAAATATTAAATATTTAACTTTTTGATGTATTAAAATTTTTGAAAGAGAAAAATGAGTTATTTTTTAGCTTGAAATTCAGCTCAAATAAAACAATTCATTATTGTCGATTTTATGTTTGGAAATTAGAAGACATCGCTGTTACACGTAGAACAACATATTATTCCGGAGAGAAAAATGATGGAATAAGTGAAAAAGAAAATATTGAAAGAAGAAAAGATGAAAGAAGAAAAGATGAAAGAAGAAAAGATGAAAGAAGAAAAGATGAAAGAAGAAAAGATGAAAGAAGAAAAGATGAAAGAAGAAATTATGAAAGAAGAAAAGAGGAAAGAATAAGATGGGGAGAAAGCTTCTGGTTTTTTCCAACGCTTTTCACGCGAGAGACGGCTAATATGGTTGAAAAGCGTCGCAAAAGAAATCAAAGGAATGCTTAAGGCGTTTTTTTGGACGGAAAAGTTTTCTATTTGACTACTTTTATATTTTTTCAGCTAAAAGTAATTTTTTGTGTTTCATTTATTGTGTGTACACATTTATCAATCGCAGGTCTCATTTGAGCATTCTTCTAAAAGTTTGTCCGCTTGGATATATTGCAGAATGTCAACTGGTAATAATCATTCATTTACGAGAAAAACAACAACGGCTTCTGACGACTCGCCTGCTACTAATAACAATTCTTCTGTGAAAAAAACAAGACTACTGGTTGGTGAAGGGGACTTTTCTTTTACGGACGCACTTTTAGAGAAGCATGCTTTTACCCGTGAGGAAATCATCGCTACTGAGCTGCGCTCAAAGGAAGATACTATTAGATTGTATAAGAATGACGGCATTCAACGAAGGCTTCGTTATTTGGAGAAGAAACCCAATGTGACAATTCAGTTTGAAATTGACGCAACACAACTGCATGTACACTATAAGAGGCAGCAATTTCATCGAGTATATTTCAATTTTCCATGTACAGATATACTTGGCACACTGAAAATGCTGAGAGATTTTTTTCAATCTGCTGCAAAGGTACAAGATGTGGGTCATCGCGTACTTTTGACACTTGTATGTCTCCCTGGCGACGAAAAAAAGACAGCCGATGATCATCGTAAATATTGGCATGGATACGTGTACGGTATGGTTAATGCTAGCCAGTCTGCTGGTTATCGTTTGATTCAAAAACGACGTTTTAATGATTCCGAAAAGAAGTTTCGTCGTTATGGCAATAAATATGTACATCGACTCACATACGGACCAAAGTCGTCAAAGCATGCTAAAGACGCACGACAATATGTGTTTGAAAGGGAGCAACGTTCGGTCAAATACAGAGAAAATAAAATTTACAAGATTACGCTTGGTTCAACAGCTCTTCCAACATATCCTATGAGGAAGTTCGAACATTTCCTAGAAGATATGACAACGGACACAGACGCGACGGACACAGACGCGACGGACACAGACGCGATGGACACAGACAATGACACTTGAACCAAGCCGATCATGAATGAAAATAACAATCGTCCATTTTAATAATCGCCATAACTTTTACTGAACAACAAATTTACTAAACAAGAAAAAAATCTAATTTTTTAAAATGCTTCTTAGCATACACTGAAAAAAATGGTCACATTACCGAATCTCAAAGGGTTTCGTAGACAAAAAAAGGATTCCATCTTGAGGGTGTGTTTTTAAATTCAGCAGCCATGACCGGTTTCGTTTTTGCTTAAGGGACTCATCAGATGGCTTCATCTTTGTAACTGTTCCATGATTCAAAGAACCGAAAACATCTTTTACTTTACATTGCTACGGAGAGGATTTCATGATTTGAAATTGGTTGAGAATGGGTTTGAGGATGAGCTGTTGATATTTATGTGAGTTTGGAAATTGTATTAATATGCATGGCGTGTGGGAATGAAGGATGATACAATAGTTGGTGTATCTCTTGGCCTCTCTGATGAGTGGCGGTCTTCTGTTTTTCTTAAATTTGTTTTGTGACATTGAGATTCTCCTGTTTTCCCTTTGTCTATCGACTCGATTGAATAGTTGATTCGGAAATGTGATTGAGGGGATGATTTTGATGTTAATCGTTTTTGGTATTTATTCATGTATACGTTCCTGACTGTGCTGCTACGGATGCAGCTAATATGGTAATTATAGCAGATGTGGTTTTTACAACGTAGACTGTTTACGATCTCGTATTACTTTTCATATTTTCTTTCAATAGAGTTATGTTTATTTTTATTCATCAATAGCAACACAGAATGTGAAATATACTAAGTTAGTGACTTCTTTGTTTCGATTGAATATTCGCTGCTTGTTTATCTGGCGGACGTTGCGTTTGGCCCTCTTGATCGCTTCCAGCACTTTGAATATGCTTGATCATTCTTGCGCTCAATTCTTGTTTCAAATTCTGATTGAGATATGTTCCGACCATAAGAGCAGTATCGATAACTTCTGTTTCATGAAAAACACGGTTTCATAGTTCGTGAATCTGTGGGCGAGTGTGCCGGAGTCGTTTTTCATGTCTATGATGAATTATGAGACTTTTTCCTTTTATTAATTCGTTGTTCTTTGTAGGTTGTTGAATATGGTTCTGTATGTTTTTGTCATGAATTTGATTGGTAGTTGAGGTTCTGGTTACTTTATCGTATGCTGTAGCTGTTGATACTGTCAATAACTGATGACGTAAATAATCGAAGTCATCAGAGTTATTGAACATAGGCAAAATGAAATACTTTGATAAATATTTACTGAATAATGTAGTGAGTCCCCAATGGATATGTCTTGATGGGTACCTGTAAATTAGATACAAAGAATGAGAAACGTGACTGAATACCGAACACTTACCCATTATAGAGAAACATGAGTTTGATTTGTCGTATTTCTTCTTCGAATTCAGATAAGGTTGTTGAATAACAAACTGCTCTCGCAATAGCAGTATCAACAGTGTTTCGGAAAACATGACCAGGATGATCTGATCCAAATGGTACGACATATGGCTCAGCTGCTTCTTTATGATACACTGAAGTTGTTAAAGTGCCCTTTCTGTTCTGAATGAGTACATCAAGAAATGGAACACTTCTACCAATTTGTCGCACTAGTTTAATGTTAGGATGAAAGTTATTAGCTTCATCTAACATTTGGTCGATGGATTCGAGTGAATCGTTCGACGTAAAGAAAATATCGTCAACATATCTAAAATGAGACATTATATGCAAAGTATATTCTTATATGAACCATGTTAAATACCGTCCGTAGATTTCATTGGATACTTTGAGTCGGTGTACAAGTTGTTTCTCCCATTTCCACATGAAAATATTAGCTAGTGTTAAAGTAAATGCTGAGCCCATCGCACCACCAATGACTTGTCGATAGAATTTCTTCTCATAAACGAAAACGTTTTCTTTAATGACGATAAGAGCTAACTTTCGAATTATATCAATTGGAATATTTTGAACTTTTTGATAG